ATTCTAAAAAATATTTTATTGTAACTCAATCCGAAATATTCTATTCCCGATCATTTCAGTGTGCCCCTCGTATATCACTTAGTATCATTGTACGTCATTTCATCTAACTAAGGCGCCGAGACAAAATAATAAACGTGCGAATGCGCGCCACGAACTGAAAAAATTTGGAAGCGTTTGGAACCAAAGATTTAGTATAAACTAAAGTTAGAGTAAATTAGCAATGCAAAAGAGGAAGAACATAGTGTACGCATATGTTAGAGCGAGATAGATAGGCGAGACCATACACGTACGCGCACTTTCTCCCCGCTACTACTCCCTTACACCAAGCCACAAAACATTGGTACGTAAACTTTTTAACATGAATACATCTTTAAATTTACTTTCATAATGGAAGGTAGTAAGGTATACAAGATTTTTTTTTACCACCAAGGCAGCGCCACTTAGAAACTAAGTGAAATATTTGACAAATTACATGGCTAGTAAATTCATTTGTTAGAAAAATGTAAGGGTTAATGTTTCTTTCTAAACTACAGATAAGTAAAAAATGTGAGCAACAAACCACTGAGGCATTATTTTATGTATTTTATTTAATACTCTGGAAAACGATAAAAAAATTAAAACATTTTTATTACACCGCTTAAAACATTTAATATTACAGGTCACGGTAACGGTATATCAAAAAAAACTTCACCTCAATCCCAACTAGTGACATCTGGTGAACGAAAGATTACTGCCCTCACTCGGTAGACTGATGATAACAAAGTCAAAAAAAGGATAGAGTTGATGTTCCATTTACATATCTAAAGAAGTTAGCTAAAGGATAAAAGGATTTGATTACGTTGAGTGAGGACTGTAAAACAACGGGCGCGGCGGAGAAAGGAGCGCCGCCATTTTGAGTCGTTTCGTTACGTACACGTAAAACACATGACCGCGTCCACGACACAGCCACACCACGATTTTTTTATAGAATAAGGGACAAACGAACTTACAGTTCACCTGTCGGGCACCACCACAATGAGTCTTCGATTGAGAAACAAAATCACATAATCTGACAATTGTTAACTTTGGTCTAGTGGGATCTAAGCGCGACTGCTGATGATGTGGTGCTAGGTTGGTATCCCGGGATTCTCAGTAGCAGCCCGAGGTCAGGATGTGTGAGCTGTCCCACTCCATGCCTCAGAAAGCGCGTAATTCTTTTAGTCTTGCATCTTATCTCTCTTCGGTGTATTGTTGGATTGCCGTCCCATCAGACTGAGAGTGAGGGAAGAGAGAGTGCACTTGTACTTGCGTGTATGCGAGTCCTGTAGTACCTCGAGTACTATAATCCTGTCCTGCGCTGATAGCTTTTATACATTGTGACTGGCCGCCGTGACCGAAATCTGGAAGACTGCGAGGTTGAATAAAATTTAGTGCCCAGCAAGGGATGGTCAACAAGATGAATTCAATTTTTAGAGAAATGTGAATAACAAACAAAGTACAAATAAGCACACAGATATATAGATTAATCTTATCTAAAATGTATTATTGCAAGAGAAAGTTTAAGGAATTAATTTAAAAAAAATAGCCTTGTTTCATTTCACATCTTGTCCCATTTACTGACTCATCATTGCAAGGTGCCCTATAATTCTCCTTAACCAGGATTTTATATTTAAGATACTGATTAGTAACTTGGATGTAGTGCAAAATACGGAAATCAATAATTTTTAAAAGTCTAAGTCTTTTCAGTCAAAATTTTCGCCAAAGTACCATTTATTTTTCTCAATATTACCTTTGTAATGGTGGCATTCCAAATGGAGATACTGGAGTCTTTTCCCTCTCACTGAGTTAGAAATCAGACATAATAATGGACATTCTGCATTGGATTTTTTACTTTTAGAGTTGTTTCTTTCATTGACTTATAAATGTATAATAGTTTGTACGTCTGTTAATGATAGTGTAACTTCTGAACGACTTGATCTATTGAAGTCATTATCAACACAATATATTTGTAACGTCGAAAATTTGCTGCTATAGGTGGCGCTGTAAAAAATAAAATTAAGTTAATGTATGTATGTATGCATATACTATGAAGGATAGTTGGCGAGAGGAAATAATATAACAAGAAACAATTTCATCTTAAACACAAATAGGCTCTGATGTATTTGTGTTCAGCAATGGCCAAAACAAAGGCAGACAGATAGCAGAAGTTATTAAGTTTGTTTATTTGCCGAGCTGTGAAAGAAAAATCAAGGCTTAACAGGGATGTTTTTCTGGATGCAAACATGTTTAACCCGTAACAAGTTTAATTTTGCTTCAAGTCTTACGCCACGCGTGTGTGAGATATAAATTAATCAGAGGTAATAAATCTTGTGCTTATAATTTATAATAAAAAAGAGTCCCAATTACTATTATTTTTAGGCATCGAAACTGCTGCTACAGCGTGGAAGTTTATTTCCGTTATATTTTTAAATAACAAAGCTTTAAATTACAGGTGCTCCAGAAGTGGAAGGCACAGATCCGGCCCCTCGAGCTTGGAGGGGAGCAGGTGCCGCCCCGTCTCGTTCACACATTGAGACAGAATACGAATCGCCCAGTATTACCAATCGGGCTCTCACTCTCCTCGCCATTGCGGGCTTCATATACTGCCTCACAGCGTTCTGGAAACGATGCGGACGAAAACTCAGGCGACGGAGACTTGTGTCTCTCGCCACCTAGCATACGCCTAAGTCCGCCAGGAAAAAGTGCCCGTCAAGAACTAATGGCAGTAGATGATCAAAAAACGGACCAAAGTAATTCGTCAGTGCTACGAGTGAATTCTAAATGTGCTTGTGGCTGTGTTACAGCTGTGAAGCTTTGTAAATATGTATACTATATTACACGTTCAGCGTGAAGATAGGAGACTTAAGACTCAAGATATTATTATAATAATATTTATATAATTAAGTGATGGATTAAATGTGGATATCGTAGAATAGATACAATATAATGTATTAAAGACTGTGTTTTTAATAATTGAAAATAAATTACAGTGTTTATATATGCTGTCAATCAATATTTTTTTCTTATTTGTATAAAATCTTGTAATATAACACTAATGTGAAAAACGGACTGAATATTCAATTTCTGTTTATATTCTGAAGAACATAAACCTCCGGGAAGTCTGCAGTAGGAAAACCTGTCCAGCATCGTCCTCGCCATTCCATTAGTTTTAAAAAAAACCTTCTGATTTCAACAGAGAAGACGAGGGTGCTACAATCTGCGTACACATACGTACTATAATTTCTTCATGCATATATCACCAAAAGTTAATAGGTAGCCGTGGTTAACTATAATATTGGGACGTCTTATATCTCAGTTTCCTCATGATCACGAGTGCAAAGTATTTGAAACGTCTGCAATATAAGAGATGTTAAACGCGATAAAATCCGTAAAAATAAAAACTAATTTCATTCGACATATATTTCGAAAAATAAAAAATAATTATTGTCGTAAATTAAATATATTATTCCATAGTAAAGACACTTTGCCACACGAGCTTTCTATTATAGGAAAGGTTCATTATCCCTTATTGGGCTATTTACGGGTTGATATATATTTTTAATGAAGACAACATAACAACTAATGCCTATCTCATCTGTCCACAAAACCGATTTTTAACAAGGTTGATTAAATAGGTAATCGGATGTCTGGAAAAAAGGTTCTCGAGTGGCGGCCTCGTACCTGCGGACGAAGTGTAGGGCGTCCCACCACTAGATGGAGTGACGACCTGGTAAGACATGCAGGAAGTCGATGGATGCAGTTGGCTCAGGACCGTGCTTTGTGGCATTCCTTGGGGGAGGCCTATGTTCAGCAGTGGACTTGTGACGGGCTGTAATGATAATGATGACGAGTGTCTGGATGACAAATGGCGGTGTCATTAACTAAAAATGTTGAAGTAAATTACTAAATCCCACTGTTTGTGATAGTCGAGTGGTGGCGGCATTAGAGACTTCATCTATTTTCATCATGTGGATGTCGTAAATTGGCCGTAAGAGGCAAATATACGAAGTGCCAGAAAGCACTTTATGACTTTAGACAGATAGCTGTATAACTATTCCGTTTACGACAGTGATAAAATGTCTTAAGTCGAGGAATAGTGTCAAAGTGTAATACGTCATACGGCTGGTACTTCTATCGAACATCCGCCCGCCAAGCACAGCGATTACGGCGAACCCTTTTTACAACGGAAAAAGCACATGGCTTCATTTTCAAAAAATGAATTTAAAAGGAGCAGCCACCGTACGCGAACCACATTGGTTCGAGTCCCGCCAGCACTAATGAAATCCTTAATTGCAATTTAGCACGTGTTCGTGTGTGTATGTGTGTGTGCGTGCGTGCGAGTGTGTGTGTATAAAAAAGTAAATTTTTGAGAATTGTCTGTCATTCTCAAAATGCCGTCTCATAAAATTTGCCACCCGCGGTCGTGATCCCCGCCTTCTCCCTTGCTACGTCATTGGCTGTTTGGGATATCTTAAAACAAATAATTTGAACTACGTTTCGATTTTATACTGGACTATCATGTTTTTAAAGTATTCGAATATGTGTTGGAAATTAACCCAAACATATTATCGCACTTAGTTATGCGATGACTTAATAAACTTGAAGCGAAATATTTGCTTACAGTGATTATATAATCTATTTTAAGACATAAAAACAGTAATAACATGTAAATAATGATTAATATACCAAAGTTAATCACGTTTGCGCGGTAAATTTGGTTGGCGCGAAACGCGCACGCGCGCGCCATTTATGCGTCATTGCGACGCTTCGCGGTCACTGCTTGAACCAGGCCACCAACCACCGTTAACTGCCTAATGTCAAGACTAACTTGCTACATATTTATTAATCTGTGGTCAAGACTCAAGACTTCATTCACTTGCTTCAGTTCATAGAGAATTTTACTTCAGTTACCGCGAGCCTTTTGTTGTTGGAACCCGTTTATTAAACCTCACTCGCACGCTAACGAAGCGCGGTCAATCACTATGTCGCGTGTTTACAATCCATCCGACTATGTCGTCGAAAAATCTCGCATAAAATCATTTAATAAATACAAAGAGATGCACGCAAAATCCTTAGAGGATCCGGAGGCGTTTTGGTCGGAAATAGCAAGCGAATTCTATTGGCAAACTCCTCATCAGCCAGGAAAATTTGTATCTTACAATTTTGATATAAATAAGGGAAATATCTTCATAAAATGGATGGAGGGCGCAGTCACCAACGTGTGCTTTAATCTCCTAGATCGCAATGTGCGAAACGGCCACGGGGATAAAATCGCCTATTACTGGTAAGTTTTCGCATTCGCATTACGAAATCGATAAACAGCTGAGCGAATGCACCCGTCTGAGACGGCGCGTAAACTTATTGATTTTTCACCAATCCATTTTTATTATTTTGGTTGACATAGTTTTATTTGTTACGTAACATACTATCTAATAAATAATTTGCAGTATTGGCTTGTATTTCAATTGTTTTCGTAAAGTATTATTGATCGCGCATCTTTAATCAATTACTTTGCGTCATTGTTTACTTACGCTTTTGCGAATTGTTTTTCTTATATTTTAACTTTATAATGTTAATTCAATACAAATAATATCTAGTTAGACGTAACTAGATATTATTTCATAAATAAAACAAATAATCTAATGATAATGGATAGAGTTGCACGAGCACTCTCAACGAAAAATTTGTCTAAATTATGTCTTTTCTCTTGGTCTTGTCTTTATTCTTTTCCTTTTAATTGTTCTTTTATTCAAAAAAATTTATGAGCCTAAGAAGAGCACAATATTTAGATTAGCTGTAATACCAATAATTTAACTAATAAAATATATAAGTCTTTTAGGTATTTATTATTAAACAAGGATAAGAAAAACTTACTTCATAAGACCACATTGTAATAATCAGTATACATACATAAACACACACACACACACACACAAGAACTCACGGCTGCCACCCAGAGGGGTAGGGAGAAATAATTAACTTACATTTAGCACGATACTGACACACTTCTCTCGCTTCTCTCACACCCATATTTCTACGCTATCATTATATTTTTTTCGTGGTCAATCCTGGTCACATCTGTTGTAAACCACACTTTTCCTTTACCATACAATTTCTCACGCTATCAGTCAGAGTCACCCCTGACATGCCTACTTCTTATTGACCGCATTTCTACAGCATCAATTCTACTCTCATATTTCTTCTACCACGCCCAACTTTTACTACCACATATTAAGTTAGGAATTAACACAGTAGTGTAAATTGCCATTCGTACTTTCTTTTAAACTTTATGACTTTTCACAATACAGAGGAGAGCTCCATTATTTTTTGCCCTGCATTCATTATTCGTTGTTTATTCTTTTCATGTCTACTATCCTTGCTAAACACACTTTCTTCTCTTTCAAAAACCATTAGTTTCATCTTACTTGCGTTCACTTTCATTCCCCATATTTAATGATACGTTCATTAATGTAACTATCATAACTCACCCGCCGACGATGTAAATACAGGCTTTACTTAATTCTTATTTTATTTTCTATTAAAATTTAATCTAATTGTTTACCCAACAACTAGGCAAACAGGTTGTACAGCCACAGGCAAGCGACACATCCCTGTCTAACACCTTAATGGACGCTAAACCAGTCCCTGTAAGCCTCGTTGATCCTAATAACAAGGACTATGGGTCGGCTCGACCGGGGAAGGACCGCGCTCTCACAATACCAGCGTAAAATAGCAGCTTAACGCTGCTATGTTTCGTATGGTGACTGGTGAGTGTAGAGAACCGGAGACCCTTTTTTTTTTCGAGGATAAATGAAGATGTCTATGGAACACAGCAACCACTTACCATCACGTGGACTGTGTGCTCGTTTGTCACCATATCCTATAAAAAACTAGAGTCCTAATTAAAGAGATGTTAATGCCTGTATCAGCCCTGCGTTCAACTCAAACCATGCGACGCCACTGTATCATAGCTGTGGAAACCTCGTATAATATATTACTGTAAGATCTACTCTCTGTTGGATACATTTATATAAATGTAAACGTGTTTAAATTTTTGGCTTGAGCGCTAATAGTACAAATTACAATTAATATATTTTATTTTTTATAAAATATTAAATTTAAAAGACAAACTGTTCTCATTCCTCTGTAAAGTATTGATTCAATGCCCAGATGAATGTTTAAAAAGTAGGGCACAACAGCTCTTCCCCCTAGGATGCTGTATGTAGGTCACTTGGTTAAGGTCATCCGAAATACTGTTTGCCTAAACGAGAATATAAATATTCCACTAGAATATTCACTTGAACAACTACTTGTGTCAAAAAGGTGGTAACTTAAACATAACGTAATATATAATCTACTTCAAATATCATGACTATCATTTAAAACTAGGCCTAATCCCTTCTATTTTTTATTTTTCATTTATGCTATTTGAGTTATGCTTAAATTCCCACAAATTAAGACTGCAATTTTTTATTTCAAAAAGTAGCTGCGTGTGGTAAAAAGTTTTTCAATTAGCATATATTATATAGTTTCGTATAAAATTATATTGTGCACACGCTTTCCGTATTGACCACGTACGTAACACCTTGTGCAATTTCTTGCGGTAAGTAGCGCGGTTTTTTTTTCATATTCATGGCTTTCAGCGGCCGTACAATATTATTACAACAAGCGAAACTTGCTGGACCGAAACAAAAACCGAATCGAATTCGCAATCAATTTTGGGAGTATGCCTGCAGTTCCAGGTTTATTACTTTATTATCACCATTTAATAATAATTAATTGTATCTAAATTTTGAGCATTGTAAAAGGCAACTATGGGAAGTTCCAGAAAGATGTTACGGCTTTCGATAGATTGCGATTACCTATGCCGGACGTAAAGTACCGCAGACTAATAAAATATCCAGACTTTCGACAGGGTGCAGCGTCAACGCTGAAGGACGTCAGGTACTGCGTTCGCAAATATTCCACACCCACTGTCAAGCGTTTTTTTGTTTAATTTTAAGACTAATCCCGAGAAACCTTGTTAGTTATTATGATGACTGGATCGCGAGTGCACAGCTGAACATAAATCTCCCAAATAGATTGCCGCAAAGCATACTTCTTAGCAACCCCTTCTAACTTCTTACATATTATCTGCGCCGGAAGAGGCATAGCTTTATCTCAGCGCGCGACTGAGTTATGTGGAATTTTGCATAGTGCAAAGACAGTGTGTAGATGGATAAAAGACTTCAGAAGCTATTTCTTTGAAGTTGGCTTTTAGTTTATATTAAAAGTTTAATTTTTCAAATATTACAAACTTAAGATTATTATTTATGCTGTAATTAGTAAAATACGCCAAAATCAAACGCTGAAACTGAAAGGTATAAGAGAAGGTAACGTAACATGCCAGAAACTTCACCGCTGCTCCTCTGCAAAACCTTTACAATCTACCCAATAACTACTAGCATGTTATCATATATGGAGGTTTTATTACGACAGCGATTAAAGACTTAAGTAATAAATTTACAATCCATCCACTTTGCAAATATAAAAGTTCATATTATTATATTCACCTTTAGCACTTATTGTTTATTCAAGTAGTTAATCTTAAAAAAAAATTGTAGCTTAGCTGAAAATGGTAGTACTCTTTATAAGATAGAATAATATTATAATTATATTTGAACTAAAATTGGAGGTCGAATACTTATGCAGGCTGTAGGACTTCCGGCTTCGTTATACTGCACGTATCCGTATTTATTATAGTAATGTACGGAATCTATTCTATATAATAATAATAATTTATTTGCTAGAAATATGGTGGTTACAGACATTATAATTAAAGATAGTACAAGCATATTTCGCCAGTGGCATGCAAATACATAATTTTTTTAAATGTACATGATTGTATTAAAAAAAAATATGTTTAATTATAATTTTATGATAAATTCAAGATTAAAAACTCTTAATACACATAACATGGATGTCAATAATTAATAAAAAAAAGTTGGAAACGTCCTAAGTTAAAAATTCATATTATATCAAATCAAAAAAAAAATTAAAAAATAATCAAGTATACATGTCAATAGTTATTAATTTTATATACATTTATTTAGTCAATTTTACACGAAATGTCTTATAAAATACTTATCATTTTGGTTTATAACAATAAAAATCATCTAGAGTATAATTTGGTTTATAACAAAAAAAATGTTTTAATGGAAGTTCTCGAATTTGAACAGGAAGTTTATTATATACTTTTATGCACATAATGGGACAATTTTTCTGAAAAAATGGAAAATGAAAAATAATGGAAAGAATGGTTAGGTACGGAAGGAATTTGCACGCTGTGCAATATAATTGTTCTTAGTATATAAAATGCTAATAATACAGAACACAATATATTTAATAAATAAAAACATATTAAAAAATTTACTTTTAAAAATATTATTTCTTAAAACTATTACTTTAATAAAAAAATCGTTTTGTCCATAATATCATTAAAAAAAATTCCATTTGTGTTATTTTTTACTTTATCTAAGAAAGTTCACGTAAAATTTAATTATTTACGGTAAAATGTACAAAGAAGTATTCTTTGACAAAAGGTATTCTCTGTGTACGGAACACTAAAACGCAGAAAGTGCTACTACGACAAGGTGACAAGGTCAGACCTTGTCGCCTTGCAGGCAGTGACAATGACATTTCCTTGGGTCACTACTCGGAAATATTTCATGTTACAACTAAATATGTGTCAACTGACACGTTCAACCTCGTACTTACATGTGTATAGTGTAAGAGTCTAATCACAACTAAGCCTCCTTCCTGGTAGATTTCAACCAGAACAAACGACGCACGAAATATATTGCCAACAGTTCACCGTGGTTAGTTAGACGTTGGTTAGAGGATTAAAAATTATAGATATGAAATGATTTACGTTTGAAAAGACTAATAAATTGGTAAAATTTGACAATGCCATTGAAAATCTTGCACCGTTCAGTAAGGCTGTGCTATAAAACATCGTAACGTCAGTACGCTTATTTAGGGTTTAAGGAAGGACTGCGGCCGAGTCTTTACCTATGACTTTAATACTTGAGATTGAAAACAAGGTGTAACATTATTTAATCTGTGATAAGGTATCTAGCAAGGCAGTCGAGGTAACGTAAGCCGTAATAACATTTTCTGTGAAGATTCGCTATCGCTTATCATACTTAGATCATTCTATAAATATTAGGTATTAGGAATATATTGTATGCACTGTTAGCTTCACTTCACCTATTACATAGAATTTAATGGGCCGTTGTAGCTTAGGAACTAAGAGCTCGTTGTAAATTTTACAATACGCGAGCAACCTGGATTAGATCCCCGCCGACACCACTGATATTGTTAATTTCAATTTTAAGTGCTGATTCACCACGTGCTCGTCGGTGTAATAAAAAAAATATTTCAAAGACATATGAAGTTGGCCAGCACGCATTGGGGCAGCCCAGCAGACTTTTCCTTGCCCTAAAACTCTCTCAGAAATGAGAACAGCAGCGGTGGGACGTATATAGTCTATATAACTTTAACTTGAAAATTAATCAGTTCTAGTTGTTCAAGTTTGAATAGAAGTGTCAGAAGGTTCAAAGACCGGTATTATATGATTTTAAAGATTTAGTTTAAAGGAAGAATACAAAAGTATCTAGGTATTATATGTGGCTTTTATAGAATATAGTCTTTTTCTAAGTTTTGCAAGAGCGTAAAAAAGCAGTGTTATACCAAGTAACACATCAAAGCAGTACAACGGCCGACATACAGCATTTCTGTATCGTTGTCGCATTTCGAGTTAGTCCTATAATAACATTGTTTATACGACTACTGTGATGCTCAAATACTCAAATTATACGGCTTAAGATCCTTAATAGGTTCACAATAGTTGTTTGATTGCATTACAGGCGCATTATGCTAGCATTATTTTGGCACAAAGAAGGTATCAATTGCATTAAAAACGCATTATTATGGTAAATGAAGTTGCCAATCGCATTACAGAAGCACTATACTAGCAATATTATTGATAATAAAGATGTTAATTGCATTACAAAAGCATTAGACTAACATTAGAATGTAGTAAAAGAATGATTGGAGCTATTGAAGTGCAGTTAGAACTTAAAAAACCCTACAACATTACAAAAACATCTCTATACGCGGCACTAAATGTTATAATACAATTAACGTTGTAATTTAACGCAATATATATATATATAATTTATATATATATATAATATATATATTATATATAATATAATATATATATATATATATATATATATATATATATATATATATATATTTATGAAGGAAGACGGTCAAAACTGAGCGACCATATTTATTTGCATCAAAACAAAATTTATAAAGTTTTTGAGTCTTTTGTTATTTCATGCCTTCAAATATTACTGCGCAATGTAGTTTAATATAAATGTCTATATAAGTTTTATTGAAAATTTTCAGGCATCTTCGATATTTTGTGGTTTTGATAGAAAATGTTGTAATAAGATATGTGTGAAATAATCAAAACAATTGTGTATTCCTAGCATAGAACGAATGTTACAAAATTAACATAATAGTATTGGCTGGGCAGATTATACCGGTCTATTGCTTTTATAAATAGATCCGAATTATATTTTTTTGGTTATATAATATTTACAAAATGTTGTCGGTCCACAGCAGCCCGGTGATGCTTTAAAAAGGCCAATTAATGCCGCCATCAGTATAAATACTCACATCACAGGTGAACATTGTATTTGATTAAAGGGCTGTTAGCTGTACAACAGAACTCAGTTAATCTTTAAAAATGCAAGCATTACATTGATTCACGTTCAAGCTGTTCAGCAGTACTAGGTTTTCACTTACCACTAAAGTGCTATTACACAACAATGAGCACTAAAAATAACTCAAAGCTTTATAGTTGATTTACGATGCGTTATGATGGTTCAAGTTTATGCTATTAAACAACATTAAAGAATTATTTACTATTTAAAAATGCCATTGTAGGTCCAAATGTATTAAAAACAGTTGAACGCTGTACAGTTGCGTTGTGATTTGCTGCTCTAAAACTAAAGGCTTTACAAAAGCATTTTGATATGCCATTATCTAACCGTTATACAATGTAAAGTATCAGAACGGTTTTGAAATGCCAATATAAAGCGTCAAGATGCTCGGTGAACTTATATAAAAGTTTACATGCACCTTAAGTTCTATGTATATAAACAAGTAAAAATATGTGCTAACACAAGCGCTCACTTATCCTATTCCTCTACTTCTTTATCCGCCTTCTATTGCTGAATATACATCATATATTTTTTTATCGGTAGAGCCACTGCAGCTTTATATGCGCTGCGACACGAATGGCTTACCCGAGGTAGGATCATGCTTTCAAAGAATGCCAATGTGTAACAGCAGAATAGTATATGTATGTATGGTGTAGAGAACGTGATATCCTTTTTACTGATTTTGGGTGACAAACGAGCACACAGTCCACCTGATGGTAAGTGGATGCTGTGGCCCATAGACATCTACGTTTAGCCTCGATTAAGAATTAAAATGCAGATGCGTTTTCTCCATTTCTCTACAGTCACCATACTAAACACAGCAGCATTAAGCTGCTATTTTACGCTGGTATTCTGTGAGAGCGTGGTCCTACCCCAGTGAAGCCGACCCATTCGTGCTACAATAATAATATAGCTGCAGCGTGGCTCTACCATGCTTGAAACGAGACGTTCTAGTCCTCAGGTGTGATAACGCGTCTGCATTTTGATTCTAAATGGAGTATGTGCTCCCTTGTCACCCTCTATTCTATAAAATGAATAAAAATAATATAAAGTCTTTTCGAGAATGAGTCAAATGACTCACATCTTGGAATATTTGCTCGTCTTCATGCTAGAAGATCACACGGAACGCCAGCGTAAAATAGCAGCATAATGCTACCATGTTTCGTATATCCCCACGAAGCATTCCATCTTAGTCCTTAGGGACTGACAACGAAATCGCATTTGGATTCTTAATCGAGGAATATATACAGTGCCTACTCTGCGTGTTGCGTGCGTTGAGATTGACGCTTAGATTTGAAACCAGAATACGTAGCCCACCAACAGTGGTTAGGCTACAATGATGATGATGGAACAATTAAACTTGCTTCACCCAAGATTCTCCCTGTTCTATTTAAATGAGCAACTTCACGTTTTAGGGAGGGAAACTGCCCGGAGGACTACAGTCGTGTCACATACAAGAAACTTATGGACCTAGTTTGTCAGTTCGCAAATGCATTGCGAGACAGCGGCGTGGGTAAGGGCGATAGAGTCTCTATCTACATGCCTATGATCTTGGAAACCATAGTTTGTATGCTGGCGTGTGCGAGGATCGGAGCCGTGCACTCAGTTGTGGTGAGTTTCACGTAACGTTATGCAAAAAATCTTTTCACTAGTAAATAATCTCTATAATAATAAATATCACGGTAACAAGCAACAACTCCTCTTGTTGCTATTCAGACCACGAATATTTATTAGAAACAAACGTAAAAGAAAAGAGTTCTTATATTACGCAAGCATTATTACGAAGCACTATTATTATTCTGAGCCATTATGCTCACTGTTATTCAGAGATAATTATTATCTGAATTAAGGCCGTGAAATCTTGCACTTGTTAGTGTACCTAATAAACTAGTTATATAAATATTATAATACTACGAGTAGATGTTTTCGCTGCGACTTCGTACGGATGGAACTTATTACGATTGAATTTTAAGGGTTTTAATGGGTTTTTTTGTGCGGAACCTCTTTTTATTAAATATAAGTTAATCCTTATAACATTAGCTATCTGCCGGTGAAAGTCCCGTCAAAATCGGTCCAGCCGTTTCTGAGATTAGCCGCAACAAACAGACATACAGACAGACAGACAAAAATATTAATAATTGTTTTTTTTTTATAAGTATTGTATGTACTTTCATGTTGCATTTAGACAATTCAATTTTACTTATTTGTATTGCCTATAAAGGGGATATTTGCCTTAGATGCCACACGCTGCCAATCTTTATTAATATTATTGAGTTGTTATCAGGAAGATGCTGTTGTCTATCTTCTACTTCAGTTTCAATTTGTCGCCTCTTACGACTTCCAAGAGACGATATGGGGTAGGAGTCTCTTATGCCGCCGATACAATGCAAGTATTTAATTACCGCAAACAAATTTATTTTAACTGACTTTATAAAAGGAAGAGGTCCTCAATTTGATTTGACGATATCTTATTTTTGGTATTTCGTTAAGCGATGTCTTTGTCCATTATGAACCGATCTTGATGATTCTCTTATATTTTTATTAAATAAGTCCTTCAGGGTGGTCCAGTATAGGTAATTTTTAACTAATAAATTATCAAAACTGAGCAACAAAATTTAACCTACTAAAATATTATAAATATTGCGGCCGTTTTACTTATAAAACTTTTATTTTAAAACCTGTCTTCCAGTTTGCAGGATTTTCTTCGGATTCTTTGGCGGAGCGCATGTCTGACTGCAAAGCCAAAGTTTTGGTAACGTCAGACGGCGCATGGCGCGGTAATAAACTTCTGGAACTAAAAAAGATCTGCGACGAAGCTTTAGACAAGGCCAAACAAAAGTACAACCATACAGTGGACATGTGCATTGTTGTTTCACATCTTGCGAGGGTGACGCCTTGCGGCAAACTGCCTGATGATATTAAATCTTTGGTAAGTTGCTGTTCCATTATTACTAATCTACTTCCAGCATTTGGACTGGCTTTACCATTATTGTATGTTATATATCTTTGGAAATTCAAAGAAATCAAATTCAGGTTTATTAATTAAACATAAGTTTGATTAAAGTAATACGTTTAAATACTGTTATGGAATATATGCCGCATGAATAGTCTCATATTTTAATATTGCTTTACTTAAGCTATTAAATATTTGCACATGAAATATTTTTGGATAGATTTGGATTTTTCCGAATCCGTAGATTGGTATAAAAAATTCTGTAGAATTCCGTAGATGCTATTTCCAAATATCCGTAGATCTGCAGACTTCTTAAGAGGATCGAAAATTTTAGTTAAATTTAACTAAATTATTTAATGTAAAAAAAAAACAAATAAAATAAATTACTCTTAAATATTTGTGAATAGATAAACTAATTACATAGTGAAAAAAATCTTCTAAAATTCAAATAAATGCACCTTTAAGGCCCGCCACATACATACGGCACTCCGTTTCGGAATTTCGTTTCGATATTCCGATTCATAAAATATGTGACCCGTCACACACGAACGGTAGTTTTCCGTTGGAAATTTTGCGGGCGAAACGGGATTCCGTATGTGTGTGGCCGACCCGTTCGGAATTCCCAAATGGAATTCCGTATGTATGAGGCCGGCCTTAGTGTGTGAGTAAAGAATATCTGCCTTTCTTATCTGTCAAATTCAATTTTCCCGCTGAGATATAGATTGTTAAAATTTTCTATTGTCGGTTGCCGGCTAAGTACACATTCATGAGGCAAAATAGTATTTTTTAAAAATTGAATTATTCTGAAAGAACTGTGAAGTACAAAAAAAAAAATTAAAATGGAAATCAAATTCCGTAGTGCCGTAGACGAAGAAAAAATTCCGTGGAACTACGGAAAAATCCGTAGAGCTGGCAACTCTGTTGCAGCGTGGCCTAGCGTTCTGTCTCAGGCTAAGACTCAGTGAGAAGCGGCAGGCGTGCAGCGTAGCGGAGCGTTCTCAATATATTTTGAAAGAATGCCACTCAAAACACTAATAAACGGTGTGTTAACACACTGATCATAAGCATGCACGCTGATCGCCCGTCCAGTCCGGTCGAACACTCTCCACTGAAGGTGAAGCCTCACCATTAGGGCCCCGGCATACTACAGATTTTTAATCGGCCGATTGTTTAGTCGGGTCGGTCGGTCGGTTCTTAATCAGTATTCTTAATCAGATTTAAGATTTTGAAGAAACTATTTTTATTTATGTAGATTAATTAATTGACTGGATAGATTTGTCAATACTCACCATGCTACAGGGTTGATAAGCATACTTATACATAAAGCATGGCTTTTTTCTTGACTTTTTTGCGTCTACACGAAAAAGGCCATTACCCGTAGTCGATTTAAATAATTTGTCGAACAGTAAAAAGATAAAATAATAAATTATAATTATCATGGCTGCTTTATTCCGTGTTTTAGTACAAATGGAACGAAGATAGAGACATGTGGTGGCATGAGATGATTGATGGACAATCTACAATTTGTCCCCCGGAATGGATGGACGCCGAAGATCCCCTCTTTATGCTTTATACAAGGTAAATTTGAATTACGTATATTTCTTCTGTTACATTATTTTATAAAAATGGAGTATACATGAACTTACAGTCAACGTGATGCTAAGTGCCTACTGCAAATAGACTCCTGCAGTCTTGATACAAAGAAGGCTAAGATTACTAAGATGGAATGCCTCTAAGCCCATAATTGTGCAGGCTCCCTATGCCCTTGTTAGGAGTAGCTTTTTACCACGGGATATTTTAACCTCGGGGATTTGTTTCGGAAGATATTAATTTCGTAGAAGTTAACGCAACGGGTGTATGCGGAAACTAAAAGAAAGAAAGAAAGTTTTATTTGATGTCGCATATACAGTCCTGCAGGGTCTCACTACTCTATATTCTATATCATGCCGTGGTTTTCGTACGAGGCACAGAGTGACACTGAAACATGAGACGGTCAGCAGCGTCTTCCTAAAATAAAAGATGCGGATGCCAACCCTCCTGCGTGGTCTACTAAAGCAAATGTCCCCCATATGAAGCAATCTTTGGAGAGGGCCTATGTTCAGCAGTGGGCTTTTATAGGCTGCAATGATAATGATGATGATACAGTCGCTTGTACCAATCTACAAAAATAACCCAACTTCTAAAAGAATTAAAACGGTAGGTAGTTTCAAATAACATTAGTAGTAGGTCAGTACATATTAAAAAATCTATCTATATGTGAATCTAATTCCCATAACAGCGGTTCCACCGGGAAGCCTAAGGGAGTGCTGCATACAACCGCCGGCTTCCTTCTCTACGCGACCGCGACTTTCCGCTACGTGTTCGACTACCGGGATAAAGACATCTTTTGGTGCACTGCCGACGTGGGCTGGATCACTGGCCACACTTATGTTGTGTACGCACCATTAGCGAACGCCGCCACTTCTGTAGTGGTAAGTTATTACAATACGCTCAAAATCTGACCTTATTACTAGTAAAATACGAGGCCAATGTTTGACCAAAAACATATTTGATTATTAATTTGATAAGTCTTTAAAATTAGGTACTGAATATTACCACTGTTAGAAGTTAAACCAACACGAACTTCTATGACATTTCCGGTTTTTCATTTTTCAATGTCTTGAGTACAGTTTAAATAAAAGTTAGTTAAGTTGCAGTCTATACAGGCAGGCTCAGGCCTCTCATTTCTGACAGGAACAGCAGTACATAATTCATAGGTATTATTATTACATTAGTTTCGTGACTGATTCTGGTTCTGCTAACAACACTATTAGTGTAATAACTACGAAATAATGATTCTTTTAGGGTTTCGTCAGACAATAAAAAGCCAGAGTAAAAAAATTGCATTTCATTTTCATCGAGATTTTTCATGTAAAAATCCTCGACATATTATTTATAAATTTTGCACAGAAATTGTATAATAGTCCTTAAAAATATGAAGGTTGAATTTTCATTATGAGAATTTAATTCGGCGATATCGCCTTGTATAATGAAATCACTATTGATCAATATTGATATCCATATTCTATATACATAAATGATTTAACACATCAAATATAAATGTATAATTTCACAATAAGGCAGCCATAGTATGGTGTATTTTATACTTCTTTAAAGAATTCTTTAACGTACTGATTTACACCCTATGGTCCTAATCAAGACCCTATGTCGTTTAAGAAACTTTAAAAATCAATTATTAGTTGCCAAGACTAACAATCTAAGTATAGCATAATATCAGCCTTCTAACGCGTTCAGTTGCATCGCGTGCGATGAGCCTCCTGCCTAAAACAATAATCTATTCATTTGTCTCGAGCGGCGTTAGACATCTTTTCTGCATCAATAACATTTTACGTGGTAAAGGCATGCTGCAGCTATATTATGGTTGTAGCCAGGGAAGGACCACGCTCTCACAGAATATCAGCGGAAAATAGCAGCTTAATGCTGCTGTGTTTCGTACGGTGGGTGTAGAGAGCCGGACACCCGTTTTACTGGTAACGAGGTATTCCATCTTAGTCCTCAAGAGCGGTAACGCATCTGCATTTTGATTCTTAATCGAGGATAAATTTAGATGTATATGGGCCACAGAATCCACTTAGCAAAAAAAATAATTGTGGAAATGTTGTTTTAAATTTAGAACAGTTATATTGTTTAATTAGTAATGGGAATGATAATACATTCAATATATATATATATATAACTTTCAAATATTTTTTGTTGCGATACGCGCGCCACCTACGGTAAGTTAATTGTACTATGCCTATAACCTTCGCGCAAGTGCAAACAATAAGTTGACAAAGTTTTATCACAATCTGATGAACGGTATGGCAACGCATAAAATACGAACAAACAAAAATATTTTTTATATATTAGATTTACATTATACTTAGCATTAGCAGTTAGCACAGAATAAATAACGGCATTAGTAAGTGATAAATGGTCTTGTAACAAATAACATCTTCCTTGTGTAAGTAGGTACATACATAATTTTCCAATTTACGCAAATCTTGATATGTCTGAACTAAAACAGTGTTATACAAAAAATATCAGGGTATATATTTATTATCTAGAACAAACAAATCTTGGTTCAGCCATTATCACGAACTTTTTTTAATTTTTATGGCAAAAGCCAGAATTAATAAAAATGTCACTTATATGTGATGACTAGCTGTGCCCGCGGCGTAGCTCGCGTATACAGGTTTTACATTAAGAATTTGTCGTTTAGGTAAGAGAATATTAAACGATTTATTTTATTACTGTATCAATAAGTGGTAACAAATAAATCATTATCATCAAAGTTCTAAGTAGTTTATGATAGAGCTTCTGTGTAAACGACGTTAGAAGTAGGCTTAGCCGGGGTGTACACTAAAAGGTTACGGGGGCTACTAACACGGGAAAAAGCAACATAGAGTTGGCCATGTGCAAAACAGTCAGTACTGAGGTACACTCCTACAACGCGTAAAGTTTGACCTTGCGCTTTATTTACGGTCATCGCATAACACACGCTCACTGTAACTGGGAACTGAACGCGCTTAAAACTGAAAGGAAAGTTACTTCTTAATAGAGGGTTTTTGGGCAGTGCTGCCAGCTAAAAAAAAAACTCATTCAGCTCTAGGACAACACAAAAAGCGCTAGATTTCATGAAAACAGCGCTTTAAAAAGCCCTAGATTTCGCGCTAAATTAACTACAAACAAAGTTTGTGTTTTTTTATATAATCATAATAAAGAAAACAACATTAAGTTTTTTTTCTGGCAATATTTTTTTGATGTATCAATACTTCGCAGGACATCGACTTATAATTATGGCAATTGCTGTCAACAGTAGTTAGTACTGTACGAACAATAAAAATGTCATTAATTGTTTTAAAGTGCAATGTATTTCGCATCTTAGTTTCAGATGTCAGCATCTGATTGCGGTTGCTACACAGTTTCTTTGAGTTATAACTTCTAAGTAACTTTTAACTTAGCTGTGCTCTAAGCAACTGACTGAAACTGAATAAAGCAAAATGAATGCGTTGCCAAAACCATGAACGAAAACTTTAATAAAGGGGATTTCCCCGCTTATAGTCGTCGGTAAAAAAATCAAGTTGATCATCCTAAAGGGGAAGCCAGGAGATCCATAGCACAGGGTATCCTAGTTTGGACTCGTCTCCCATGCTCTTTGCTTTGTGGAAAAAATATGTTTGAAAAAGATAAACTGCAATGTACTATTTGTGGGAAAAAATAATAAAGGTCATTATTATTATTATCGGTAATGTGGACTAACAGTGCTGCTATAAAAGAGTTAATAACCCGCTAGTCGCTAAAATATTGAAATGTGTGCTAAATACACCAAAAAGCGCTGGATTAAGCTAGGTGCTAAAATTACGAAATGCGCGCTATACATTCCAAAAAAGGGCTAAATCTAGTTCCCAAAGCGCTAAAATGGCAGTACTGATTTTGCGTATATTATAAATACAATATCACGACATTTCGTTGCAAAATTTTTATTTTTGGTCGGGTTCCGTTGTATGGCTTCGATGGTTACAAATTTCTTCAGTAAGTCTCAATACGATTCATCGGCGAAAAATCTCAACACAGCAATTCAGAAAAGTTTGTAATTTGTACAACTCCATCTATTACGTCCTTTGTGTGAGAAAACATCCTTTTTAAATCTCTTTTTGTGTTTTAAGTATAAATATATTAATTATTATGGAACGTTTTTTTTTAAACACAAATCTTTTTATTACTATTTCTGAGATTTTATGGCGCCATTGAACAAATTCGAACCTACATTTCAAAATAATAATCATTACTTTCGATAGAATTAACCAATTTTAATAAAACAAAGATTAAATGTAACTCGAAGATACGCTTTATGATTTTCTTAACGATTTCTTTGAAAATAAAAGATGTTTACTTTAGACGTCATACTTTAGACGTTCATATAATAACAGACAAATAGACAGACAGACAATTCTAAAAATTATAAAATGTTCTTATTTAATTATTTTCAGTTCTCCATAATGATTTTAGCTACCAATATATATATATATATATATATATACAATGTACAGAAAGAGACACAACATGTTATCATCATTTTTATTATATGTATATATTTAAAGAGAGATGGCGCTGCTAACATTAATTCTAAATAGCTCTTTTAAAATTTGATTTACCACATAGAGTACTCGGCGGTAAAGAATAAATTGAGTTTGTCAACACGCAGTAGGGCAGCGAGTAATATAATAAAGATTAGCAGTAAATATGAAAACTCATCTACAGGAAAAAACCACATTGCAATTGCATTACATTTTCACAACACCACCATCTATCGAAGAAATGGGTTAACTATTGTGCTTCAGATTTAGTTAATAAGGTTAATATATTTTTGTATAATATATTTAATACGTTCTTTAATACTTTTGTTTACTGCGTTTGAGATATACATAATTATATCATTATTTTACATAATTTAACTATGATTTATGATATGATATTAGTTTAAAATGCACTTGATGACTCAAAGCCACCGTTAAGCAAATTCGTACCTGTACTTCCCTACCCATACTTCAGAATATTTATCATAACTTTTGATAGAATGAACTGATTTTAATGAAATAAAGACTAAATGTAACCCGAAGATACACTTTATAATTTCTTTAACAATTCTTATGATATAAATTAGTACTTTATACGTGATACGTTAACAAACAAACAGACAGACAGACAGACAGACAGAAAATTCTAAAAATGGTAGAAATGTATTTAATTACTTATTTTTAGTACCCCTCAATCACTTTTATTACAAAAATATAAAATGTACAGACATCTGCTATTTACAGTTTTATTATATGTATAGATAAGTCCATAATGGTGTCTATCCATCTTACTAATGAATGTACAATTCTATTTAGTCCCTTTTTTAATATAAATATATTCGCTGAATTCCGTGATTTATTCTACATCTAATCTGTTCGCGATGTTTTAATTATTGTAATGAATAAATCTTATTAAATGACGACATAGAGGAAGGGAGCTGTCGTTCAGATTTTGAAAATAATCTGATCGACAGTTCCTTTCCTGCAAGTCTCTGCAAGTGCAAACAAAAAAAAATATCACAATTTTTTATAACATAATTTTATAACTTAAATTGAAAATTTTAAAAACCTCTGAAACAAAAAGAGCTGATGATCTTTAAACGGCTGAAAAGATTTTCTTGAATCATAGCTGAGAACACTCGACTCGACCTTTCAAACAAAATAAAACTAAATCTAAATTGTTTCATCCGTTCAGAAGATACGATGCCACAGACACACACAGATACACACGTCAAAGTTATAACACCCCTCTGTTATCGTCGGGGGTTAAAAACGCGTAAGACGCTAATGCATTTCAATTATCCAATGTCATTATAGAACTAAAAATATTTTACATTGCTATGATGTACTTATTTGAATCATTCTAACATTATATGTATTCCTACCTAGTTTTCATTTTCAATATGACATAGAACTTTATGTTAAGATAATTAAGAGTACACCTACTATAGAACATTTGTGACAGCTGACAGCCTAGTACCGGTAATAGGACGGCCCTTACTATATGGAGTGACGACCTGGTAAGACATACAGGAATCGATGGATGTATATCTTTGTGGCGTTCCTTGGGGACAATCTCATCAAAAAAGGGGACTATCTTCAGCAGGGGACTTATGATGGGCTGAATGCTGATGTGATGATGATAGAAACGTTAGTAATGAGTAATTATTTTATTCGTTCACTTTCCTTTTCCTCTTCTTCGTCAGTCCACTGCTGAACACGGCCTTTTCTGTTATAGTAAGTATGTCTCTTGTTAACCGAATTGGTTATCGTAGCTTTGACGCTATTTCCGTCTCCGAGCTGCCTTAAGGTGAAAGCTCCAGAGTGGCCCGCGAAATTCAAATTTTCTTACGTTTTTTGCAATTTGTAGATCAGTGTCAGATTGTATGTTTAATAAAATATGATTCGCGACCGTGACGAGTATGTATTTACAGAATTATAAGCATTATAATCATCAATACAACCCCCTAAGTTCGTATAATCTTATTGTTCGGCTATTTCCAGAAAAACTCATTCAAAGTTATTAACGAACGGAATAAAGAACGGAAATTCATAATCTTCTTTTAGTATATTGTCATTTTGTGTTGGTACGTAAACGTATTGGGTATCGCAGTTCGCGCTTTAGTTTTTCAACAATTTTTTTGTCTTAGTAAGTAATAGTTGCCTTACGCCCATCCGTTACTTAAGGTTGTTCTGTTGACATTTGTGATGAGTGTGTCCAGCGCATTTATATGCCATTAAGAAAATCTATTGTGTCGCTATTGCGTCAGAGATAAATTGTAGTGGAACTTCTGGATGTTCCCGCATGTTTACTCCATAAACGCTAGGTATCTCAGTTCGTCATTTATGTATATACATCCAAAGAGTATATTAACACTACATTTTATATGCATACGTGCCTTACTCCCTAATATTATTGGGACGAAGTTCTTTATCGTACGGTACGAATTTTACGGATGGGGGCTAGGTGAGAAAACGTGCAAGATTTTTCCGTCACGACCCCCTTCCTATAGGTACTGTGAGCGAGATGGAATAATATCCATCTTTTTTATGTGTAGGCGGCCTTAATGCCTGTGGCATTCTCTACCAGTCAACCTTATGGTGACGCAGAGATAAAAATACGAAGTAGATGTGTGTGTGTGAACGCTAAAAGACAATAGTATAAATTAAAGTATATAAATATAAAACAAAATAATACATATACCCATACATAAAGTTACATATCAAAAATTATTTAATACATGCATAATATTTTATATAAATGATGTACATAAAAATGAAATTGTATACTTGGGGAGTGCTTTCAGCCGGGATGGAAGATGTGATTTAGATGTGGACAGGCGTGTCGCTGCCGGGAACAAAGTCAATGGTGCCCTGACTGCGTTAGTCAAAAGGCAAGGCGTAGTGAAGAGTGCACGCCTTGCAATACATAACGCAGTGTTGATACCGACTTTGTTATATAGCAGCGAAACCTGGGTATGCCAGAAGAAGCATAAAAGCAAGTTGAATGCAGTGGAGATGCGATCTCTTCGTAAAATGTGCGGCGTTACCATGGCCGACCGAAAGCAAAACGAAGAGATTCGCAATATGGCAGGTTTGAAAGATGACCTTATCACAAAAATTGATAAGGGCGTGCTTCGATGGTTTGGGCACGTTGAGCGAATGAGTGAAGATCTAATTGTGAAGAAAATATATAGCGCGAAAATAAATATTAAAAGGTGTCGAGGTAGACCGAGACTAACTTTCGAAGACCGTGTGAGCAAATTGCTCGAAGAGGGGAGGGTCAAGAGTACTCGGATACCTAGACGTGCATGTATGAAGAAGATAATGAATCTGAAAGAAGCGAAAGAGGTATGTAAGGATCGTGACACTTGGCGATCTGTTCTCTCTGGCTACCCCGTCAGGGATTGTGCGTGAAGATAGTACATAAAAATAATAAATTATATACATTATATGATTATATATTTATATAAATACATAAATAAATACTACTTATGAGACCATCTCCCTCGCACTTTTTCTTATCTTGCCATGAAAGATATATTATTTTAAATGACGCTTCATTTTAATAGACGCTAGTAATTCATTTATTTGTATTTATCTTGTATTTGTATATAATCAATAATATTTCCAACCGAGTGTTGCACGACACTCACGCATGTTTATTTATTTACTTATAATTTCTTAAAAAACCTTTTGTTAGCATATATAATATGTTGATTACAGTAGAGTCAGAGTCAGAGTCAATATTTTGAATGCCAATTAATAACTAGGCCTAGACAGAAGTAAGCGGTTAGCCGCCACAATAATTGTTCACCTTCATTGTTACCTTGTTACTTCAGAACTTAGAGAAATGCTTATTATAATTGACAGATAGGTTTTATCTGATAATATGTATCTATCTTTAGTAATAGATAGATACCACAACATCTCTACATATCTAAGTAACTCGTGAAATATATTGCAATTCGTTTATTTTTGTTTGGTTAATTTTTATATGAATGAATAAACTCTTATTGAATCTGAAACACAAAAATTAGAACACATATTCTAGTTCGGTAGTTAGTTAACTTTTAAATTCCTTGAATTTATTTTGACTTACTCTTTGCGTCCATTGTGCTTGCCATCTCTGTTTTTTTTTTAATTTATTCTTAGAAAGAGTGTACATTATTTACATTTTAAATTTTGCCAAACTATAAGAAAGTTTGTTGGCAACGCAACAGTTTATCGTTTCACACTCCTTAATAATACTAAAACATATAAATACTAAAATTAACACAGTTAATTAAAGAAACATTTACTTCTATGGACACAACGACAGATAATATTTCCTCATGATGGTTGTAAGCTGCGATTTTGTTTGACGTCATCATTTATCTTTCAAATGAAACTAAAAGCAGAATGTATAGAATATCTCCAAACTACCACTCGGAGCGTTGGCCGCTTCTCGGGTACAACACTGACCGGCGGGAAATCTCTCTCCCTTTTCCTTCCACGGCTAAATTATAATCATATTATGTAATCTATAACTTTACAAACAAAAACTGAATTTGAATGGAACTAGTTTTTACGGATTTTATCGCGTTTATTAACTTATTTTATATTCCTCATGTTTCATTCAAATGTCTAGTCGTAGTAGTAGTAGAAATCATACACTGAATTCATCATAGTTTAACATTGAATTGTTGCCGATGATAGATCCATGGTGATGAAATGCCTTCCTCCATGATTGCCATTGTCACATCTTCTACAGTGTAGTGCAATCATGCGATGGTTTTTACTTTTCTGCCGACTTCCAAAAAGGAGACGGTACTCAATTCGACTGTATGTTTTTTTTATGTGTGTTACCTCATTACTTTTTACTGGGTGTACCGATTTCGATGATTCTTTTTTATTTGAAAGCTGATAGGTACTTCTCGTGTGGTCCCATATGCATTTCCCATAATTATGATCAAGGTCAAATCAATAGTTTTTGAGTTATTCTGAATAACTTATATTGAAGTCGGCTGTACAAAATTTTTAATTTTTAATTATTTAAGTGCAAGTCATTCAGTTCGCAGCCCCATAATGGAAAATAATAATTAAATATACTAGTATTAGCCTTTAGAGTTTAGAGTCACACACCTCTAATTGTGTGAGACAAATAAGGATATAAAATTTAATAAATCCTAATCCTACAAATGCTACTAAAATCGAGGACACGAGCTAGGTGTGTTTTACTTTCCAACGATTACAAATTATATATACATATATCTACGTACGCAGCATTGCGCAAAGCAATGGCCTTGCATTGACTATTGTTAACTTTTCCTTTTGTGAGTTGATACTAAGAAGATTCATAATGATTTCTTATATTTACGCGAACACTACACATGGAATTACGGATTTTACCGCATTTAATTGTACTTATTTTGAATTCCCGACGTTTCGGGTGCTTTTCAGCACCCATGGTCACGAGGGACTAAGGTGATTGACGTCCCGATGTTAGAGTTAACCCGGAGTGGATACAGCATTTTAATTATTAGTTTTGGTACGATCTACACAGAATGAACTTACTGTGTCACAAGATCTTTTTTTATTTAATAAATATACATTTGGAGAATATACGAGCCGTGCCACGTGTGACATGTAGTATGGCGTGGTCGTTAGTGTCGTAAGATGAATCTATGAGAACTGCCAGAAATATTCTTGGTCTTGCCGTTTCGAATTTCGAATGTACCAAGTATTAAAAAAAAACTAAACCGGCGATGGTTCTGTGATCGGCAATCCGCTTGCCAAGCGATTGTTGAAAATTCTCTTTATTGTGGCAGATATTGTATCCAGCAGTGGACTGTTATGGGTTGATAAAAAAAGAAGAAAAAATAAACATACGAGTAATATGGTCTGTGCGATTTGTCATACTTTGATTTGAAATGAAGATCAGAAGAATTTTTAAATGCTTTTAATTAACTTAATGAACTAGGGTTCAACTTTAATATATCCGGATTCGAAAATATTAAATAATTAATGTATTTTTTTTTATAATAAATATGATAAACGAGCACGCAGTTCATCTGATGGCGAGTGGACGCTGTGGCTCATACTCAACATTTATCAATCAAATCATCATTTATATCATTTAAGAATCAAAATGCATTGTCACCCCTGAGGACTAAGATTCTCTACACTCACCGTACGTTCATAGCATCATTAAGCTACGCTGCTTTTACGCTGGTATTCTATTCTAGTCCATCCCCGGTCGAGTCGACCCATTCATGCTACACGACTACGACTTTACCACGTTTTACGAATAAAATGATGTATTGATATGCTGGGATTTTTTCAGTTTGAAGGCACCCCGTTCTATCCGGACAACGACCGCTACTGGTCACTGGTGGAAAAGTACCGAGTGACGCAGTTCTACACAGCGCCCACCGCCATCAGGGCACTCACCAAATTCGGCGACGACCACGTGAAGAAGTAAGCTAGATGTATACAAAATATTATATTATTGAAAAGTTAATGAATAATTAATAATAATAAGTTAATAATAGTAAATTAATAATTATAAGTTAATAATAATAACACTAGACATTAGCCTTTCGTAGACACAACTGCCTCCACTGGCTACGTTTTGGTGACCTCTTTGGGGAAACCGAGGGTTTGTCTATGCGATACAGGATCAGGTTATTTACAGACCAACAACTATCGGAAATACATCCTAAAGGATGGCGGCGTCGACCTCTGTCGTGCTTGTCACCATCCCGGTGAGTCACTCACGCATGACATCTCCGGTTGTTCGGCACTTTCTAACCTAGTAGCCAGGATTCTACACCAGGAGCTCGCTCTAAAATACGGTCTCGTGGATCGGAAACTGCCATATTATAAGTACTTGCCGGAAGCCGCGCTCGAAAATGACCGCGCCAGGCTCTACTGGGACCGGGCCATCATCACAGATATTGTGCTAATGGACCGGGCACAGTCAAGGATATTTTTGGTCGACATTACCATTCCTTATGACGAGAACCTCGTGAAAGCCGAAACAGATAAGCTGACAAAATATCTGGACCTGGCTCACGAGGTGACCGACATGTGGGGTAGTCTGTCTACCGAAATTAAATTAGACTCCGTGACGGACCGCTTCAGGCTCAAATGCAGAAGGCGGTGCTCCTCGATACCGGCCATCTTCCGCCGGTTTCTTCCCCTTAACCCCTAACCCTCGGCGGTTTGGTCTCCCCTACCTCGGTAGGGCTTCCATCTCGCTGGGTTTTTATTTTTTTATGTATTTTCTATGTAATTATTTTATTTGATGTATATTATGTGTATTATTTATTTTATTTGATGATAGATGTATTTCAATTTATGTATGTTTATATCTTTCGTTTACAATTATATATTTAAACAGCCCAACCAGATGAGAAAACTTTATAGATAACCCAGATAAACTGAGTATATTTTATCTGGGTTAAATATTCTGGGTTTCAGAAATCGGTAAATACATAAAAAAAACATAGGCGTCGAATATAAAACCTCGTTTTTTTTTAAAGGAAAATTATATTTAAAACCTAGGTCCATATACGTTCGTAAATTGATGTTATATGGATAAGTCACATTGATAACGAGTAGATACCATAATCATTTCAATTTAGTATATTCTTTTCCTATAAAAAATTACCTTGAAATTCCTATACAAAACTTAACGTTTACATTGGTATTATTCCAATTTTTATAACAGGAGTAAAGAGGAATAAGTCAAACTTATCTCCATATAATGATATTATCATCCTCACCTGATGATGATCAACAAAGGTAAATGTTTAACATTTGACTACGCTTCAGGTTGTGGCACCGACAGCTATGTTTGAATGTCTATTAGCATTTTTGCAAACAAGGTTTACGTAGTTTTCCAGTGTCAAAAGTCAGTGGCAGCTGATGACGATAAAATACATTGTAGATCAGAAACAGCTGTACGTCTAAACGATTGTGAATAAACTAGTCTAGAAACTCACGCATGTACTCAACTCTCTTCAACTACTCAGAATGGGAAATTTTGAGGCTGAGTATAGCGAAGTGACTCCGATGCAATTTTTAATGCTATATCGATTTCGATGAAATTTACATAGATACATTTTTATCGCTCCAGTTATTTATTATTAACTTTAGCTATTTCAAAATTATATAATTGTATATGTAACTATAATAAATAAATTGAGATTTTCATATTCCCACAAATTTGCATGTGGTAAAGCCGTAGTATATAAATATAAAAAGATAATAAAATAATAAAATATTAAGACTTGATGGTTAAGTAAATATATGCATATCAAATATTTGGCTCCTCGTTGGTGTATTGATTATAAGCGCGGCTGCTGATCATCTACTGACAAAATCAGTTATTGGTTTTTTTAAGAAGTTCTCAGTAGCAATCAAGAATTTGGCGGTTGCACCCCTAGTGTCTCGGAAAGCATGTCAACTTAGTGGTCCTGCGCCTAATCTCTCTCCGGCCGTCCCATTAGACAATGAAAGTGAGAAATCGAGAGTGCACCTATGTTTACGCCAAGCCTACGCAAACACAGAAAGATATTATTATTAACTAGCTGTGCCCGCGGCGTAGCTCGCGTATGCAGGTTTTTCATAAACAATTTGTCGTTTAGGTAAGAGAATATTAAATGATTTATTTCATTACTGTATCAATAAGTGGTAACTAAATAAATCATTATCATCAAAGTTCTAAGTCGTTTATGATAGAGCTTCTGTGTAAACGACGTGAGAAGTAGGCTTAGCCGGGGTGTACACTAAAAGGTTACGGGGGCTACTAACGCGGGAAAAAGCAACATAGAGTTGGCCATGTGCAAAACAGTCAGTACTGAGGTACACTCCTACAACGCGTAAAGTTTGACCTTGCGCTTTATTTACGGTCATTGCATAACACACGCTCACTGTAACTGGGAACTGAACGCGCTTAAAACTGAAAGGAAAGTTACTTCTTAATAGAGGGTTTTTGGGCAGTGCTGCCAGATAATAAAAACTAATTCAGCTCTAGGACAACACAAAAAGCGCTAGATTTCATGAAAACAGCGCTTTAAAAAAGCCCTAGATTTCGCGCTAAATTAACTACAAACAAAGTTTGTGTTTTTTTATATAATCATAATAAAGAAAACAACATTAAGTTTTTTTTTCTGGCAATATTTTTTTGATGTATCAATACTTCGCAGGACATCGACTTATAATTATGGCAATTGCAGTCAACAGTAGTTAGTACTGTACGAACAATAAAAATGTCATTAATTGTTTTAAAGTGCAATGTATTTCGCAACTTAGTTTCAGATGTCAGCATCTGATTGCGGTTGCTACACAGTTTCTTTGTGTTATAACTTCTAAGTAACTTTTAACTTAGCTGTGCTCTAATCAACTGACTGAAACTGAATAAAGCAAAATAAATGCGTTGCCAAAACCATGAACAAAAACTTTAATAAAGGGGTTTCCCCGCTTATAGTCGTCGGTAAAAAAATCAAGTTGATCATCCTAAAGGGGAAGCCAGGAGATCCATAGCACAGGGTATCCTAGTTTGGACTCGTCTCCCATGCTCTTTGTTTTGTGGAAAAAATATGTTTGAAAAAGATAAACTGCAATGTACTATTTGTGGGAAAAAATAATAAAGGTCATTATTATTATTATCGGTAATGTGGACTAACAGTGCTGCTATAAAAGAGTTAATAACCCGCTAGTCGCTAAAATATTGAAATGTGTGCTAAATACACCAAAAAGCGCTGGATTAAGCTAGGGCTAAAATTTCGAAATGCGCGCTATACATTCCAAAAAAGCGCTAAATCTAGTTCCCAAAGCGCTAAAGTGGCTGTACTGATTTTGCGTATATTATAAATACAATATCACGACATTTCGTTGCAAAATTTTTATTTTTGGTCGGATTCCGTTGTATGGCTTCGATGGATACAAATTTCTTCAGTAAGTCTCAATACGATTCATCGGCGAAAAATCTCAACACAGCAATTCAGAAAAGTTTGTTATTTGTACAACTCCATCTATTACGTCCTTTGTGTGAGAAAACATCCTTTTTAAATCTCTTTTTGTGTTTTAAGTATAAATATATTAATTATTATGGAACGTTTTTTTTACACACAAATCTTTTTATTACTATTTCTGAGATTTTATGGCGCCATTGAACAAATTCGAACCTACATTTCAAAATAATAATCATTACTTTCGATAGAATTAACCAATTTTAATAAAACAAAGATTAAATGTAACTCGAAGATACGCTTTATGATTTTCTTAACGATTTCTTTGAAAATAAAAGATGTTTACTTTAGACGTGATGCGTTCATATAATAACAGACAAATAGACATACAGACAATTCTAAAAATTATAAAATGTTCTTATTTAATTATTTTCAGTTCCCCATAATGATTTTAGCCACCAAAATATATACCTATACAATGTACAGAAAGAGACACAATATGTTATCATCATTTTTATTATATGTATATATTTAAAGAGAGATGGCGCTGCTAACATCAATTCAAAATATAAAAGAGATTAATTGACGCGATTGATACATTATATAAAACGCAAGAGTACTTATAAATCAGTGCCTGCACAGTAAGCAAAAAATAAAGTTTGACTCTCGCCAAAACCAACGATTTGTTAATAGCTCTTTTAAAATTTGATTTACCACATAGAGTACTCGGCGGTAAAGAATAAATTGAGTTTATCAACACGCAGTAGGGCAGCGAGTAATATAATAAAGATTAGCAGTAAATATGAAAACTCATCTACAGAAAAAAAAAACATTGCAATTGCATTACATTTTCACAACACCACCATCTATCGAAGAAATTGGAAAACTATTGTGCTTCAGATTTAGTTAATAAGGTTAATATATTTTTGTATAATATATTTAATACGTTTTTTAATACTTTTGTTTACTGCGTTTTAGATATACATAATTATATCATTATTTTACATAATTTAACTATGATTTATGATATGATATTAGTTTAAAATGCACCTGATGACTCAAACAACGCCACCGTTGAGCAAATTCGTACCTATACTTCCCTACCCATACTTCAGAATATTTATCATAACTTTTGATGGAATGAACTGATTTTAATGAAATAAAGACTAAATGTAACCCGAAGATACACTTTATAATTTCCTTAACAATTCTTATGATATAAATTAGTACTTTATACGTGATACGTTAACAAACAAACAGACAGACAGACAGACAGACAGACAGACAGACAGAAAATTCTAAAAATGGTAGAAATGTATTTAATTACTTATTTTTAGTACCCCTCAATCACTTTTATTACAAAAATATAAAATGTACAGACATCTGCTATTTACAGTTTTATTATATGTAATAGATGAAATATTCCTCATTCCTTATTACTTATACATATATTATTATAATTAATAACTCTGTCTACTTTTGCCCACAATACGGACATATTATCTAGTTAAAATTGACACGTTCTTGAATATGAATTAATACAAATATTTTTTTACCTTATCCAAAAATTTAATGAAATGAAAATGAACAATTAATATAATTAATCGTTCACCTGCGGTTTTATGACGCTATTTGTTTGAAACATTAAGCTGAAACATCAGTCAACTATTTGACTTTTCCTAACTCGTATCACACATCCGTAAATATGTATAACATAAATATTTACATAGGTAGAACCTCGTACAACTGACTGCAAAATTACATCATTTTAATCTAGGCGCTATACTGCCGATATGCATATTATTAAACATAAACGGGATCATTGTTACGTATCCTAGAAAGGAGAGCGCTATATGTGACGTGCAAAAAGATGACTGATAAATAATATAATACTAATTTTATACGTTACTATTTTTTACTATGCGACATCTATGTCGTCAATAACGTCACTCATTCTTTTGTCGTAATTACTTTGCGTTTTTGCTTATTACTTATTACAAACTTGACTTACAAACATAGACGACTGCGTTAATAATCTGAAGTTGTTTTTTTATTCTTGGGCAAAGAGAACGGTACTTGTAGAGGTACCGCGATTTTATTTCAAAACTCACAAGCTCGTAGTTATTTGGAATTCCACTAGATGCCCGCCGGTGCATAAACATCTACATCTATCATCGATTATGTTACCAGTTAAAAAGGGTCTCCGATTATCTACACTCACCATACGAAACACATGGAAGAAATGCGTGGTCAGATGAAGCTGACCCATTTGTACTTCAACCATAATATTGTTGCAGCGTGGCTCCACCACGTTTAAAATAACCTTGGCCGTGGAAGGAAAGAGGGTGATCTCCAACCGGGCGAGGTGTTCAGTGTTATTTTGGAGCTGTTCTATATATAACGCGTTAACTTCAGAACTTTAATAACGCGAGTTAGGCTTTGGTGCGTTTCGCTTACGGCGCGACGACAGCGCCGCCACATCATCCCCTACTCAGACCGGAGGTCAATGGGACATGGGAGGAGTACTCGGTTTGGATTCGGTACTCGGCGGATTCGACCTTTTTTAAGGTTCGGCTGAGCACCGAGTATTAACGACCGAGTACCGAGTACTCGGCCTTAATTATATTCCAGAGAAAAATAAAGACAAAAAGTCAGTTTTTATCATTATTATTATAATAGACACATTAAAACATCAGGAACATGAGAAACAGCAGAAATATTTAGAACGTACATAAGAATCTATAACAGAAATTATTATTACTAATATTCAAAATTTAAGAGAGGAAGATTGTGAAGCAAACACAATAGTTTTTCGGCCTTTGGGTCTAGCTTGTAAGGGAAATAACCGCACGCCGCCCGATACCGCGTTTTTTTTTAAAGCTGAGTATTCGGCAGAGTACTCGGCTCAATTTAGGCCGAGTACCCGGTAGCCCAGTACTTGGCGAATCACTACTCGTTCCATGTTTAGTCTATGTCGACGAATGTGCAAGTGCCAGGGAATTGCCTTGCAGTCTGCGGTGAGTTGAGAAGAAGGCAAGTAATCTGCGAGATTGCCGTGAAGCAGAAGCGAGCAGAAAGGCTCAGAGCCGTGCCGAAAACTGTAGCGCAGAGAAGGAGTTTGAAGGAACAAGAAGGGTTAATCCAGTGCTGCGATGAATCTTGTAAAGCTAGGTGGCTTGCACGATCTGAAGATTGCAGAAGACGACTCTCGGGAGTTAATGGTAGGGGTTCTTGAGGATAATGACGAAGGTTTGAAATTATAGTTTCCGAAGGTGGTTGTTTGCGGGTTCACATTACGTCAATGTGACCACGTGGAAGGAAAAGGGGAGATCTCTCATCTCCCACCCGGTAAGGTATTCGATCTGGGGAGCGGCTAAAGGTCCACGTATTATTTCGGAGCTGTTCTATATATAGCGTGTTAACTTCAGAACTTTGTTAGCGCGATTTAGGCTTCTGATCGTTTTGTTTACGGCGCGAAGACAGCGTTCCACATAACTACTAAGGAGCGTGGCTCTATCACGTTTAAATACTAATTTGATTAATAAATATAATATACTGATTTCAAGAAAATAAATGAATGAATCGTAATGTACGTTAACCGACTGCTAATAATTGTAGATTTAAAAGATTTTGATCAGAGCTTAAAACATTATCTGAGGTTTAAAACTACAAATTACTTTCAGACATAACCTGAAAACACTCCGCGTGTTGGGCAGCGTGGGTGAGCCTATCAACCCTGAGGCATGGCTGTGGTACTATTCGTTGATCGGCAACAACCGTTGCTCCATAGTGGACACCTTTTGGCAGACTGAGACTGGAGGTCATGTGCTCACCAGCTTACCAGGTGCTACACCTATGAAGCCAGGAGCCGCTGTGAGTACCTAGTATCTTAAGAAATAAGACTTTATTTTGAAGTTTGTGCACTCTTTTATACGTTACTGTGTGTGTAAATTAGAGAAAGCGTATTCTCCAAACACCAACTGTGTACGTTTTTGACCTATGCGTATGTTTTTTATGCTGCTTAGGGTTCCGTACCCAAAGTATAACCAACGGAACCCTATTACTAAGCCTCCGCTGTCCGTCCGTCCGTCCGTCCGTCCGTCCGTCCGTCCGTCCGTCTGTCATCGGGCTGTATCTTATGAACCGTAATAGGTAGTTGTAGTAGTTGAAATTTTCACAGAATGTGTATTTCAGTAATGTATTTTAATAAAAATAAATTGAAAATTAAAGGGGGCTCCCCTGCTAGTAGTGTGATGGTACAGAAACCTTCATGCGCGTGCGACTCGCACTTGGACAGTTTTTCACTGATTTCTCGGAAGGAGCGTAACTGATTGAAATAATTCTTTTTATATTAAATGGGCAACTCAAAAGTGGTCTAATTTTTAGTTTTTATTAACGGTTTATTTTTCCATATCGACCGATACGACGTAGGGATCTTCAAGAAAAGAACCTACTCCTATTCAAAGGTCTGCAACGTACCTGCAATTCCTTTAGTGTTAGGGATGTTCATGGGCGATGGCGATCACTTACCATCAGGTTACTGCATGCTCATTTGCTAATTCTTCTATTAAAAAAAACTTATTGCTTCCTTCCATTCAATAAACGGCCTAAGCTCTGCGACTAAATAATAGCGAAAATTTACAATTGAAACGCAGAACTATAACTTCAAAAGTTGGTGTTGTGCTGCATTTATCAACACAGCCGGTCCATTTGCCGCTTCAGCTTACTGATCATTTGGGCTATGTCGGTTACTCTGTTTCTATTGCCGATATCCTCTATACTAAACGCAAAGTTTAGCCCAGCAATGAAGGATCATGTCCCATATCCATATGTCATCTCTGTCAACATAAGCTCTGGCTGTACGCTCTTGTTTTAAGGTTTGAAGTATATGAGACAAGAAGATGTGTCTTAATCTCCCGAAAGCTACCCAGCCGAGTTGAATCTGACAATTGACCTCTGGGTCGATTTTTTTTTATAGTATAAGGGTGACGAACGAGCACACAGTCCACCTGATGGTAAGTAGTTGCTGAGGGCCATAGACATCTACATCTATCCACGTTTGCGAATCAAAATGCAGATGCGTTGTCACCCGTGAGGACTGAGATGGAATGCCTCTTTTCCAGTAAAAAGGGTCTCTGGTTCTCTACACTACAATCACCATACGAAACACAGCAGTGTCAAGCTGCTATTTTACGCCGGTACTCTGTGAGAGCGTGGTCCTTCCCCGGTCGAGCAGACCCATTCGTGCTACGACTATACTATTAATATAGCTGCAGCATGGCTCTACCACGTATGAGATTACAAGTCCCAATAACTGTTCCTAATAGTCCCAATAACTGCCGGCCACATTTTATTACTGTTATAATATCTTATCTAGATTTAATAAGCAAAAAAAAAAATTCAGGGATACCCATTCTTCGGAGTGCAACCAACCCTCCTTGATGACAACGGTAAAGAAATTGAGGGGCCTGGTGAAGGTTACCTCGTGTTCCCGCGACCGTGGCCCGGTATCATGAGGACGCTCTTCGGTGACCACGACCGTTACGAAAAGGTGTACTTCTCTAAATTCCCCGGATATTATTGCACTGGAGACGGTAAGTTGAAAGTTAGAAATGCGCGTTGGAAAGTGTGAGAGATAGAAGTGGGACAAATGGGAAATTTTATGTCATAATATATTTGATATATAAAACTGAAAGTGATAAACAAACTTACTGTTCACTTAATGATTATCAGTGGCTACTGAGGCCTATGTTCACCAGCGACCCACTTCAAACAAAGAAGTCTACTGATACGTTGTCAGCTCTGCGTACTAAGATTGAAAACCTCACAGCTGCTAATTATACTTATCTACTCTCTATACCCTTCAAACTGGAAATAAGAAATGCATAGCGCCAGAAATAGGTATCCAACGTCCAAAAAAAATAAACTGGCAAGGTAAAAATGACCTTATTAAATGTCTCATAGAGATAAAAATAAAAATAAGCATACTAATAACTCTTATTTTAGTCATTTGATGGACAGTAGTATATGTAGGCACTTGGACTCTTTCAATATAAAAGTTCTAGGTTTTTTCTTTCAACACGTTGGTTCAAGACTTTAGTCATAATCCTATATTAAATAATATCTTGGATAAATCTTCGGATATTCGAGGAATAACGCCCTGCTCGGACTTCCTCTATTAGACTTAGATAGCATTAGCAACTATCTTTAGATAGTATATTCCAATTTGCCATTATATGAAAATTTCGATAGCAAAATTATATTCCATCCGGGCATATTTTTTTAAGGGTGACAAACGAGCATATAATCCACTTGATGGTAAGTAGACGCTGTGGCCCATAGACATCTACATTTATCCTCAACTAAGAAATAAAATGCAGATGCGTTGTCACCCCTGAGGACTAAGATGGAATGCCTCGTTTCCAGTAAAAAGGTTCTCCAGTTCACATCTACACTCACCATACAAAACACAGCAGCATTAAGCTGCTATTTTACGCTGGTATTCTGTGAGTTATACTCTATCGAGAAACTTCGAGTCATGTGAATATGTAGCATGCAGATCATTCTTCTCCATTCAGCCTCATAATTATTTTCTAGTTTAAACGAATTATACAACGTCAATGTTATAGAGAACGACAACTCATATCCCGTGGCTGAAGCGAAATTATTATAGAGTAATGATAATGATTAAATAATATACAATGATACGAAATTTACTATGGTATCAGTAAGTGCTAGTAAAATTCGAATATCTTGTATTTTGGACTAGAAACCCCTTTAGATTTTAGATATTTAAGAGGTGCAGGATCTCGAGGAGGGATAGGATAGATAGATCATTATTATAACAATGTACTATCCTTGCCATGTGATGATGACTATCTTTCCGTTTCGTTTTATGGGTATCGTAAAACGCTACAATGGAAAATACTAGAAATATCATAAGGCTTACTATATGTGGCGTTTTATAAACATGTTGTTTACTAGAGGCGTAAAATATCCAGGCGGGCGAGTGGCAGCAGTGTCAAAGATGCAAGCGGTGTGCCAAGCGTGGCGATTAAGACTAATCTTCCCTGCAGTGGGAGAGTCACATGACCAGCTGTGGACCTTTACGTAACCAGACCTAAGGTGAACTACTATATTCAGTATATTTTTAGGTGCAAAACGTGACGAGGACGGCTTCCTGTGGGTAACAGGTCGTATAGACGACATGCTCAATGTATCCGGTCACCTCATGTCGACAGCCGAGGTTGAAGGCGTCCTCACCGAAGAGCCCAGGGTCTCCGAAGCCGCAGTCGTATCTAAACCCCACCCAGTCAAAGGAGAATCCCTTTACTGCTTTGTCATTCTTAACGATGGCGTCAAATTCGACTCAGACTTGGTCGACTGCCTGAAAAAACGCGTCAGGCAGCGTATTGGGGCGTTCGCCGCACCGGATGTGATCCACTATGCCCCTGGTCTACCTAAGACTAGATCCGGGAAGATTATGCGGAGGATACTGAGGAAAATAGCCCTAGGAGACCACGACATCGGAGACACTACAACACTTGCTGACCCTTCCGTTGTTGACGAACTCTTCAAGACCAGACCTTAAATCAAGTGCGATGAAGCATGGCCATTAGTTCTTAATGTTCCTATTTTGTTTTATAGGTTTAGGGAGAGATAGTTGGACGGTCATTTTGTATACGTCATTTTATCTGAGTTTTGCATTATTTTAAAGTTTGGGAAATTGTTTCATGCAGCGATATGAAATATAAAGAGATCAAATAATCAATCGTTCGAGCTAAACTTACTCATGTTAGGATCGTTTTAAAATACTGAACAGTTTTTTCGGCTTTACGTTATGTTAGCTAATAATGCCAGCATCTATTTCTTTTAAATAAATTCGACGGTGTAGTTAATATATATATATATATATATATATATATATATATATATATATCTTACTTATATTTTTATATCACTGCTTGTTTATATACAATCGCACATAAATTATATACATATTGATTATTTTCTAATAAACGTACGCGCAATAAGCCGTCCGAATAGATGTCTAATGCTACAATAATAAAGAAAAGAGAAGAAATGTTTGAAATCTGTCTATACTTACCAGTGAGAATGATTTTACTTTTTACAGTTTTAAATCGTTATTAATAGGCTTTTTGTCACACTCATGCCAGAGGTTATAGCATATAAGTTATTTATTTAAATATTATAAGAAGTTAGAACCAACCGACAAACAGAATATAATAATGGCTTAAAAAGAAATTAACATTTAATGTAACCTTTGCTTAGTCGACTACAACAATATATTTTAAAGTCATTCTAGACAAATAAATATATAAACGTTTAGATTGTTTTAAATTAAACGTAGAAAGTATTCACAGATATTATTCACATTGAATCAATCATTCCATTGTTGAGCCATTATTTAATATGTAGGTATGTACCTGTAGAAAGGTTGGAGTTATATAACGTAGGTTAATTATAGCGGGCCATTGTAATAGCATTACAATTCAATTGTTATTGATGTGATCAACGACCTGATTTACTACATTACCTACAGTAAGTAGCGTTATTTTTATATTTTTCTATGTTTTGTGATTTACACACCTCTGTAGCTTACGGTTGTGATATATTTTCGTTTTTAATAAGTTATTGTTCGAGTCTTAGCCACTTATAAAACTGTTTTTCTATTTAATGTTATGTTATTTATGTTAAAACAAATACATTGAACTTTTAGCAGCTAAGTGAAGTGCGTTTAGACATTATCGTTGCATTTTCTGACCGGCAAGTTAGTAAATGGTTTATTAAGTATATCCTACTCTATCTAAATTTCAGTACAAAACTACGGTTGCTTGTTGGGATTTAAGTTACAAAACATGGACGAAAATTGCACATACTTATAAAACGCACTGTTATATATACTTATATAAATATACTTGAGATAATTGTTATAATGCATATATGTATTACGAATGATATATAAAGTTCAATGCAGTTATTTTCACTGTGTTATTTAAGCAATTTTGTTGCAGATGATAATATGTAATAAGATTCTCGGTTTTGTATTAAATGAGAAGATGCTTCATTATAATTAATATGTTTCGAGGCAAAGGTTATTTATGTTGCTGATTACCATATAATTGTATTAAATTTATAATGTTTTATTTTTGTCGGCTGTGGTTGGTGGTACATAGTACATTGTGGACTTATAAGTCAGAGGTATAGGGTAAAAAAAAATTCACTAAAGCAATCATATTGTAGTTAATAAATAAATGTTACAATATGTGTTATTTTAATAGATAGTTTAAAGTTCTAGAATGTATTTGGGTGGCGTGTTGGCGTGAATTGTTCCCAATAATTGCCGTAGGTACTGTATCTGTCCATGTATGTTCAGGCTCTCAGCACACGATATTTTTGCAGTTCGATTTGAAGGTTACCCATTCTATTGAGACTGTGTCAAACAGCAATCCCGAAGCCACTTCTTAAGAAGAAGCAAACTATATATCCAAATGTAGACAAATACTCTAGTAAGCTACCTGTGTAAAATTTTCCAATATACGGCCTCCAGGGACGGTGTACTCTCTGGTGGAAATAATAATAAAAAACCATACCTGTAATTCTTGCTTGACATACCGCGAAATTCAAGAACATAAGTTAAAGATATATCTATGAATGTTGTCGAGATAGAATAGAACATATAAATTATTTCAGTAATCTATCAAATAAATGCCTCTAAAATTCATAAAATTATCTGCTGTTTACGACTTGTAAAATGAATTGATAATAAACTTGCGAAAATAACTTCCAATGAGTAGGTAGATAATTGTCTTTTATCTATGTTAATTGAACCCTGCTGTACCGTATTTTTTAACATTGATAGACCTTAATATACATTAATGTGACTTAGCCTAATTAAGGATTGGTTGCAGCAAAAGCGCCTTGTTTTTAATGTAAGCAATATAAATTTCGATAAATAGCTGTTATTGGTGGTTCAATATTCGAAAAACTATTAAAGGTGTAGTTGTTAACCCGAATTGTTGGCCAACCCTAATAAACAATATTATTCATGATTATAGAACTAAACGTGTTTCTTCTAATTCCCTTGAACTAGAACTATAATATTTAGTACCTATCTTATATATTAAATTATATTATATATATATTTGGATAGAAGTTAAGCTATTTTAATGTGATTGTATGTCGAAACGAACATATCATTAAAAGTGATACTATATGGAAATTGGTTGTCAGTTAATTCTTAATGTTGTCCCTCGAGGAGTTCATTTCAAACTAGCTGTTCTCCGCGACTTCGCCCGCGTATAATTTAGGGTTTTAATTTTTGTGCGAGGAACCCTAATTATTTTTCTAAAATAAAAGTAAGCTAAGTTACTCCTTATAACATCAGCTATCTGCCAGTGAAAGTCCCGTCAAAATCGGTCCATCCGTTTCGGAGATTAGCCGGAACAAACAGACAGATTGCTGTAATTTTGACATTACAAACAGACACTTCAATTTTATTTATTTTTATACATATGGCATGCATATGATATAAATAGTCAACTATGTTGAACTTGGAAAAGTATAATATATTTCGTAACGTGAATATTTAGTATTTGTTGTATGTACTTAAAATTGACATACATGAGTCTCAAGATATCGATTACAATAAATATATAAATATATCGACTACCTGTGATATAGAGTTGGAGCTTGGAGCAAAGAGAGAGCCTGGAATAGTGCAATACGTTAATTTACCTACAAACCTACAATTATGATGATGTAGGATTGCTAATTTCTTTTATTTCAAATATAGTATTTAAGGTCTAATAAAAATATATGAAGTTTGTTTCAGAATATTATTTTAATTTCAAAGGAATATTGTTGCTGCTTTGTGTGTTAACATATTTTATAGCCACACGCCATAGTCAGCCTCTGTCAAAATATTTTTTTTAATTATAGTGTTTGGACTCCCAATTAGCAACCTAAATTAGCAAACCTACGATGCAGAGTCAAAGATTCTAGGACAATCTCAGTAAACTTGAAAACCAACTTACTTACAAATTATAGCCCCAGCTGGGTTCGTACCCTAAGTACGTTTGCGTGCAAGTACTATTATTTATTCTGAGATATAGATTCTCTTATTTAAAACTGCACGCGCCTCCCTCAAATAATTTTATAATTTGAGGCGTCTCCCTTGTATTTTTAGTATGACATTTACCGTCATAATTAAATAAAAGATATATTTAATATTTTGCCGATGTGAGTCATGTTTCTAAAATCAAACGCAGCTATGACATACGTTTAAAACAACATATTTTTATTAATTTCCTCAACTCTTAAAATATGTACTTTAGAAATATTCTTATTTAACATAATGAAATCACTACCATTAATTAGAACCAATATTAAATAACAAAGAGATACACAGGCCAGCCGCGGATCAGAGGGGAGTAGCCATAGCGTTCTTTCCCGATACAGAACTGTCTGTAATTTTTTGCAGGGGGAAATCTGTGCACACAAAAACAATCTTCTGTCATCTCACACATAACAATTAAAATTATAAACTAACAATTTCACACACACAGGTAAATTATAAGAGTATCGCTAGATCACAGCGACAACTCGAATACAGACTGATTCGTCGCTCGACCGATGCGCATATTGTATGAGGGCGAACGGCCTGCGTTGATAAGCAAATCCCAAACAACACGACCGTTATTATTGTAATTTTTAAGTTTGTAGATGCATCAATAAAATAACAGTTAGATCGAGAGTGAGCGAGAGGTTGCGTCACTCTAGTGGAGCGTCATATCGATGGTGGCGAGTTGGAATTGAGGGTATTTCGAGAAACACCCTCCCACTCGTTTGTGCAATATAAAGTTCAGTGTAGGTGCAGAGCGCGGGAGGTTCCTCTTAAGTCATTCTACGCGTGCTACGATAGAGTAGTGGCTCTGTCCGTTGTGGTGATTCTTCTGATGCAGGCAAGGATGATGGTATTGCTGAGAGGCTGTCCCGTGTTACATTGAGATGGGTCCTGTTGCTGTTGGTTTGTATACCTTGGTGTTATAATGTAGGTAATTATGTTCACGTTACACCAGTTAGTAATTGTGACGAGGTAATTGCCTATACTCATTTTATAGTCCAGTTACGCCGTTTTATTGGCAGTAATGATTAATTGCGTAAGCAAGAGTTTAAGTTGAACATCCGCTCTCACACTTTACTATTTTAACAACTAAACTTTCCTGACGTATTCCCGCTAGTTCCGACAAGTTTAAAAGGAAGTAAAAATAGCAATGATGTGATTAAAAATTATTTATATCCAAAATGAAAGGTCCTCTTTTTGTAAATTTGGCGAGACAGATCACAAACTGAACAATTCGGCATTTTATAGGACTTCGTTTCAGCCGCGCAACTAGGTTCTTCGAGTGAGCAGTACGGCTGCAAATACTTCTATAGTACGCATAGGACCACCTGGACTAATACTTTGACAGAGGGGAACGTTTACATATGGCTACTCGCTTCCAGTCCGCATTTGGCCCGTGCTGCTTTATGCCTGTATCTCAATCATCGAAAGAATATAATTTTAATCATTATTGGTTATTAATCGATTTGGGTATGTTTGCATCGATTTCAAGGTGTTTGGTAATTGAGTAATCAATTTTTAAAATAAACTGTGTTCTGGTGAATAGACTTTTTAACACTTATGGTGGCTTAACATCAGGTGAGCTATTACGAGGAGGTAGTTCATTTGCTACTCTAAAATAAAAAGGCAACAGAGGATATAAATAAGTATACTCAATGTTGATACCGTATCCTTTCCAGTCCAGAAGCTTGAAAACGTCTTCCAATGCAGCGGTGAAGAGTTTCGGGGATATGACGTCACCTTGTCTTACACCTCTCTGCAATTGGATAGGTTTCGTACTCTGGTTCTGTACTCGGATAGCCATCGTAGCCCTACTGTACAAGCACTTCAACACTTCGATATACCGACAGTCAACTTGACACCGCTGAAGGGACTGCAGCACCGCCCAAATTTCGACGGAATCAAAGGCTTTCTCATAGTCCACATACGCCAGACATAGTGGCAAATTGTACTCTTCGGACTTCTGTACAACTTGCCGAAGGGTATGTATGTGGTCTATGGTGCTAAAGCCCTTTCGGAAACCGGCTTGTTCGGGAGGCTGGAAGTCGTCAAGTCTGCGCGCGAGACGATTCGTAATGACTCTCGAAAACAGCACGTAGACGCGGCTCAGAAGGGAAATCGGTCTGTAGTTCTTCAAGAGAGCGTTGTCACCTTTCTTGAAGAACAAGACCACCGCACTTCTGCTCCACGCCTCCGGTGTAATGCCACCATGGAGGACGGAATTAAAGAGCTTCTGAAGGACTTCAAGTACCGGTCTTCCACCCGCTTTCAGAAGCTCCGCTGTAATTCCATCCTCGCCTGGGGCCTTACCGTTTTTAAGGTGCTGGAGAGCCATCCTAATCTCGCTCAGACTGACATCCGGGATATCTTCGGAATAGTGTCGGATAAGACTCGCTCTTGGATCGTTACTCACACTTGCGTGTGGCTCCAACGATGACGTGTACAGCTGTCCATAGAACCTCTCAATCTCTCTCAAAATCTCAGGTGCCCCGGAAACGATGCTGCCACACTCGGTCTTCAGCTTTGACAGTTGGCCCTTTCTGGTAGACAGATCTCTGGCAAAGACTGGAGCCTTGGTTCCGCTCGATCGCTTCTTCAATACGAGCTGTATTGAAGTTGCGTAAGTCCCGCCGCATGCATTTGGAGATCTGTCTGTTCAGATGCTTGTATGCTGTCAAGTCTGTTGAAGAATGTAGCTTCATCTCCCGTCTAACAGCCATGAGATTAAGAGTGTGATCGGAGAGTTTTTGTGTTCTTCTGCGGCGGGTCTTGCAGAACTTAGCTCCGACCGCATGGACAGTTTCCACGAGCTTGTCATTCATATCGTCCACTTCATTGCAGTCTTCCAGGCACTGAAAACGGTTTTGTAACTCGAGCTGAAAGGTTTCGGGACTTTGGAACAGAGCACGAGGGGGACGGAGCGTTGACTTCATTAGACGAGACCTCTCCAACTTAACGTTTAGGTTCAGTGTGCCTCTAACCATTCGGTGATCGCTACCAGTTTTCACCCTTGCGATCACGGAGACATCACTGAACAGTTGTCGTCTGGTCGTCATAATGAAGTCAATCTCATTTTTTGTGGAACCGTCGGGGCTCGACCAGGTCCACTTCCTGTGGGGCCGCTTCTGGAAGAAAGAGTTCATCATAAAGAGTCCCTCTTTCTCCATGAAGTCGGCCAGCTGCTGGCCCCTTGGGTTCCGTTGCCCTATTCCAAATTTCCCCACTGTCAGCTCACCGTTCTCTCTTGTGCCTAGTTTTGCATTGAAGTCTCCCATTAACACCGTATATTGGGTTTTGGAGGAATGCATGGCTCTAGAGATATCCTCATACATTTCCTCCACCTCCTAATCGGGGTGTGCCGAGGTTGGTGCGTAAACCTGTATGACCTTCAGCGAATACCGTTTGGTGATTCTGAGTATAAGGTACGCAACCCTCGTCGACACACTCCCGATCTTTACAACGTTGTTAACGAGAGGCTTGTGGACGATAAATCCGACACCTCCTTGGGACAGATGGTCGCCCTCCCGGTGATAGAGCAAGTTGCCGGATTCGAGGATTACCGTGTCCTCCCCCTCTCTTCGGACTTCGGATAATCCTATAATATGCCAGCGCAACTTGTCTATCTCTTCTTCCAGCTCCACGATCTTCTCGTCAGTCCTCAGGGTGCGTGCGTTGTACGTTGCCAGGTCGAGTCGTTGTAGGTGGCAACCGAACCTCCACCGGAGATTCTTAGCACCCCCTGCCCCGCCGTTACCATGGTCGCCACCGTAGCCAGGAATAGCGGGGCCGCCGGGGACTGGGGGCAGTTTCTTTGTTACTGTCATTCATAGGGGGGTATTTGCCATAGTTGCCACGCTTGGCGAGCGGGTTGGCAACCGCAGTTTTTTTTTATTGTAATTTGGCTATTATCAGGAAGATGCTGCTGCCCATCTCCTGCCTGTTTCCCTTTGTCGCCTTTTACGACACCCACGGGAGGATATGGGGTAGTGGATATTCTTGACCGCCACTACACGGATACGGTATCAACATCAAAGGCGAGTACATCACTCACCTTCGATTTGCCGATGATATAGTCCTTATGGCAGAATCGCTGGAGGACCTAAGCACTATGCTCAATGACCTCAATAGTGTTTCCCAACGGATAGGTCTTAAGATGAACATGGACAAAACAAAGATCATGTTTAATGTCCATGTCACACCTATGCCGGTAGTTGTTGGGAGCACTAAGCTCGAAGTTGTTGACGAGTATGTTTACCTGGGACAAATAGTCCGACTAGGTAAGTCCAACTTCGACCGAGAGGTCAATCGACGGATTCAACTCGGCTGGGCAGCGTTCGGGAAGCTACGACACATCTTCTCGTCAGACATACCTCAAAACCTTAAAACGAAATTGTACAACCAGTGCGTGTTGCCAGTGATGACTTACGGAACTGAGACGTGGTCCTTCACTGCTGGCCGTATGAAGAAGCTCAAGGTCGCTCAGCGAGCTATGGAGAGGGCTATGTTCGGAGTTTCTCTGCGTGATAAACTTAGGAATGAGGATATCCGCAGTAGAACCAGAGTGACCGACATAGCCCAACGGATTAGTAAGCTGAAGTGGCAGTGGGCCGGCCATATAGCTCGAAGAACCGACAACCGATGGGGAAGAAAGGTTCTCGAGTGGCAGCCTCGTACCGGTAGGCGAAGTGTAGGGCGTCCCCCCACCAGATGGAGTGACGACCTGGTAAGACATGCAGGAAGTCGATGGATGCAGGTGGCTCAGGACCGTGCTTTGTGGTATTCTTTGGGGGAGGCCTATGTTCAGCAGTGGACTTGTGAAGGGCTGTAATGATGATGATGATGACTCAATGTTGATTAGTGTTGCCAATGTTTTTATTTCAAATATGGTAAAGACAGCAAATTTTAAGCGCATGCTTATTTTTATTTTAACTATGCGTAGAACTGTATTAATAGAATCTTGAAAGTTATCCGGTAATCGAGCCGATCCAAACGTAAATATCATAGTACGCAAGGAACCCAATTTCGATCCGCACCGACACCACTCACACTTTAATTGCAATTTGAAGTTTCGATTTACCACGTTCAGTGGTGAAGGCAAATATCGCGAGGAAACCTGCATATTTGAGAAGATAAAAAATATTTCGGGAATAATTTTTAGGTATACTTATGTGAAGTCAGTCAACCCGCGTTGGAGTCAACTCAATCAACGCTTTTTTGTCCTAAAACTCGCTGCGGCCTGTCCCCAGTAGTGGGATGTATGTAGGCTGCTACTTTTTTTACTTTTAATAGGCCTATCCACTGCTGATCATAGGCTTCTCCCGTTGTTTGTTAAATAGGCCGGATATTTGCAGTAGTAGCCACGCTTGGCAAGTGGGTTGGCAATCGCAGCTTTTTATTAGTCTGCATTGTTATCAGGAAGATGCTGCCATCCACCTCCAGTTTCAGTTTCCCTTCTGTCGCCTCTTACGACGCCCACGAGGTGAAATGAGGTATTGGTTTCTATTTCGCCGCCTCTACATTGCTAATATATTTCTACTCCCGTTCTTCATTTCGATTCCCTCCATAGATTACGAAATAAGTTGGATATTAGCCGTTCTTGCCACGCTCGGCAGGTGGGTTGCCAACTGAATCTTTGTATTATTTTAAGATATAATCAGAAAGATGCTTCTGTCCATCTTCTCTATATTTTTACTCCCGTTCATGAATATAGTTCCTCTCACACGTTCATCGTGAATAGAACTACATTTATGAAATTTTAGCATTAATTGGAGTAGTATTAATGGTATTTCTAAATTGACACCAACGCGAGCGAAGCAACGGGTAAAAAGCTAGTAATAAATATAATTAACATTTTATACGATGTCTCTGAGAATGTAAAATGTTACTGAGTATGGTAGAGTATAACGTATGCGCAGGTATACGAGTATTATTAAATTTAATTATTATTATTATTAGTAATATTAAATTTAATTATTAAAAAATAATAAAATTGTTATAGTTCATCATATATTTTTTTCAAAATTTTATCACATTAAATAAAGTAACATATTTTATAACAAACTTTAAAATTTAACAAAAGAAGCATGTATTTGATCTTTCTAAATATAATACATGGTCAAGAAATGAAAACAGGAAAAATAAATATTATAAAACAAAGAAATATATTATGTAAAGTGGATAAATTAAAAAGTATCACTTAGTTTTAATTTTTTTACTTTGAGTCGGTTCTTGACGTAGTGTTTTAAAGTATAATCCATAGAAAACTCCGGCGGCTACGATGATAATAGTCGATATTACTGTAATGTATTCCGCACGATTTCTGAAAAAATAAATTAAGTATTGTAAATACGTTTTCATTACAATCATGACGTTGGTACAAGGCAAAAAAAAATTCGAAACAGCTTAGGATGAAATACAGAAGAATAGTAACAGAGATGAATTATTGCAGTTATTTTCAGTAAAATCACTAGTTATATTAAATTAGTTTATTTTGTTGCAAAACTTCGAGCACAACTAATTTAAAAATGTGTGAAATATATAAAGTAAAACACATATATATAACCAATGTAAAACATATAACGTGTACGTAGTAGATTAAAAGTTCCTTCTACCAGAAAATTATGCCAACGTGTGGTGAAACACAACAATGGTTGTGTTACACCATAGGTTGGCATAATTATGGTTGCAGCATAACATACAGGGTTATTTAACAATATACAGCCATATTTGCAGAGGAGATTCAGTATAGGTAGATAATATAAGCGAATGGTGATAAAAAATTAATAAGAAAATCACTCAAACATTTCGTCCTCTTTAATTTTATATTCAAAATGTATGGAAATGCATTATTTTAACTGATTGTCATTCATAAATATGTAGAGCTTACTATTTTTTACACACGCACAAATTTGTAAGGGAGTGTTGAATTCGGATGCAGTCGGTGGGGTTCGGCCAGTTCACAAACTATATGTATATAAATTCGAACTGCAAATACTATGGAATGGTACGTTGTTACATTTTACGCAATGAAAGTTTACGTGTATACAAAAGCGATTCTTGGACACGCTTGTAAAGACGATAAATTAACGCACGTGTACTACCCAATCGGAGAACAATTTTTGCAGCTAAGCAAAAGCTGTTAGACTTTGGACAGTTCACCACTCCGTCACAAGGAAGTGCTCGCGGTGGTCATTCAGTAATAAGCCTGTCTGTCGATGTCTATGTCTGTCTGTCGCAGTGATCGAGTTTTTCAAGCGAAACCCCCGCGTTGACACCAATGATGTAGCTCGAGAATTCAGAGTTTGCCAGTACTATGTATGGAATTACTGAATTCTTTTGGATATCGTCCATCTCATCACCAACGTGAGTAAACTCTATTAATAACGATGGTCCACTTCGAAATCATTTTTGTGAATGGTTAGTGTTATTTTAAGTGATTGCATATTTAAGTTGCAAATAGTTCGTTGTTGTAAATAGTTACTCATTTTAAATTGTTAATAGTTGTAAATACTTAATATGTTTTTTTTTAAATGCACCATAATAAAGACAGTCATCGGTTACGTCGTTGAAATGTAATATTTTTATAATTTTATTTATTATGACGGTCCAAAGCCCGTTTAAAGTATGAAGGGAAAATTGGAATCATAATTCGGCGTCGTATAGTTGTCAATTTAGTAGCGAGCGTGTCATTACAGAAGTAAATAGTGGGCAAAAGCTCCGTGCATTGACTCGTACACACACGATCGCGCGTATGCTTTAGTTGTTGTCCATAAATCACATTAAATTTCGGATATTTTCAAATAAATGTAGAAACCGTGATCGCGAGGGTGAAAACTGGTAGCGATCACCGAATTGTTAGAGGCACACTGAACCTAAACGTTAAGTTGGAGAGGTCTCGTCTAATGAAGTCAACGCTCCGTCCCCCTCGTGCTCTGTTCCAGAGTCCCTAAACCTTTCAGCTCGAGTTACAAAACAGTTTTCAGTGCCTAGAAGACTGCAATGAAGTGGACGATATGAATGACAAGCTCGTGGAAACTGTCCATGCGGTCGGAGCTAAGTTCTGCAAGACCCGCCGCAGAAGAACACAAAAACTCTCCGATCACACTCTTAATCTCATGGCTGTTAGACGGGAGATGAAGCTACATTCTTCAACAGACTTGACAGCATACAGGCATCTGAACAGACAGATCTCCAAATGCATGCGGCGGGACTTACGCAACTTCAATACAGCTCGTATTGAAGAAGCGATCGAGCGGAACCAAGGCTCCAAAGCCTTTGCCAGAGATCTGTCTGCCAGAAAGATCCAACAGAGTGTGGCAGCATCGTTTCCGGGACACCTGAGATTTTGAGTGAGATTGAGAGGTTCTATGGGCAGCTGTACACGTCATCGTTGAAGCCACACGCAAGTGTGAGTAACGATCCAAAAGCGAGTCTCATCCGACACTATTCCGAAGATATCTCGGACGTCATTCTGAGCGAGATTAGAATGGCTCTCCAGCACCTTAAAAACGGTAAGGCCCCATGCGAGGATGAAATTACAGCGGAGCTTCTGAAAGCGGGTGGGAGACCGGTACTTGAAGTCCTTCAGAAGCTCTTTAATTCCGTCCTCCATGGTGGCATTACACCGGAGGCGTGGTGCGGAAGTGCGGTGGTCTTGTTCTTCAAGAAAGGTGACAACGCTCTCTTGAAGAACTACAGACCGATTTCCCTTCTGAGACGCGTCTACGTGCTGTTTTCGAGAGTCATTACGAATCGTCTCGCGCGCAGACTTGACGACTTCCAGCCTCCCGAACAAGCCGGTTTCCGAAAGGGCTTTAGCACCATAGACCACATACATACTCTTCGGCAAATTGTACAGAAGTCCGAAGAGTACAATTTGCCACTATGTCTGGCGTATGTGGACTATAAGAAAGCCTTTGATTCCGTCAAAATTTGGGCGGTGCTGCAGACCCTTCAGCGGTGCCAAGTTGACTGTCGGTATATCGAAGTGTTGAAGTGCTTTTACAGTAGGGCTACGATGGCTATCCGAGTACAGAACCAGAGTACGAAACCTATCCAATTGCAGAGAGGTGTAAGACAGGGTGACGTCATATCCCCGAAACTCTTCACCGCTGCATTGGAAGACGTTTTCAAGCTTCTGGACTGGAAAAGATACGGTATCAACATCAATGGCGAATACATCACTCACCTTCGATTTGCCGACGATATAGTCCTTATGGCAGAATCGCTGGAGGACCTAAGCACTATGCTCAATGACCTCAATAGTGTTTCCCAACGGATAGGTCTTAAGATGAACATGGGCAAAACAAAGATCATGTTTAATGTCCATGTCACGCCTATGCCGGTAGTTGTTGGGAACACTAAGCTCGAAGTTGTTGACGAGTATGTTTACCTGGGACAAATAGTCCGACTAGGTAAGTCCAACTTCGACCGAGAGGTCAATCGACGGATTCAACTCGGCTGGGCAGCGTTCGGGAAGCTACGACACATTTTCTCGTCAGACATACCTCAAAACCTTAAAACAAAATTGTACAACCAGTGCGTGTTGCCAGTGATGACTTACGGAACTGAGACGTGGTCCTTCACAGCTGGCCGTATGAGAAAGCTCAAGGTCGTTCAGCGAGCTATGGAGAGGGCTATGCTCGGAGTTTCTCTGCGTGATAAACTTAGAAATGAGGATTTCCGCAGTAGAACTAGAGTAATCGACATAGCCCAACGGATTAGTAAGCTGAAGTGGCAGTGGGCCGGCCATATAGCTCGAAGAACCGACAACCGATGGGGAAGAAAGGTTCTCGAGTGGCAGCCTCGTACCGGTAGGCGAAGTGTAGGGCGACCCCCCACGAGATGGAGTGACGACCTGGTAAGGCATGCAAGAAGTCGATGGATGCAGGTGGCTCAGGACCGTGCTTTGTGGCATTCCTTGGGGGAGGCCTATGTTCAGCAGTGGACTTATGAAAGGCTGTAATGATGATGAAATGTAGAAACTTATTTTTAAATAATAATCTTATTTTTAAAAACTGCAAAAAATGTATATCAGTATTTATATTTTGAACTTAATTATTTAATTTGGCTAGTCTTTGAAAAATAACCCTGATAGTATTTTCTGGGTATAATTTTTGTCCCCGGCAATATTTGAGTCATCACTTCAAATGCTCCTGTCTCAGTGGCGTAGCAGAGAGTAAAACTACAAGTTTTTACAATTATCAGATTAGAGCTTTTGGATCTAAACCTAAATAAACTGTTCTTGTTTCACGAGCAACTAATTTTAGGAAACATGGCTGAAACAGCTTGGAACAATCTTTTCTGTGTGTTTGTTTAAAGACGGTACCTACCTAAGATAAAAAGAGATCTCTGGCGGTGATAAAGAAAATTTTTGGTACTATTTTGCAGCAAGTACGTAGGTAGTGATAGAGGCACAGCAACAGTAATAGACATGACAGATTTAACAAGTAAGCACACATAGCACAGTTTATAGAGATACTTTCTATCAAAACTTATTGCAACATAATGGACTGTTATTTTGGAACAGGCTACTGGAACTATTATTTCAAACGAACAGAAACAGGTGGATTAGTAGATTTCTAACTACCTTGTATAGCCCACTCCCATTCCCATAGTCCATTTTTTTATTTTCCATGGTCGTTTACGGGTCGAAGTAGATACCTACTTAATCAATAAAAATATTGTATAAATAGCGGCACGAAAGTCTAGCAGTGACCGTTATTGCGCATAAGTCGCGCTGATTAGTCCGTGCGTATCGTTCGCACGCGCTGTTTGGCTCTCCAGTCGCATTCGTGCAATTCAATTCGTGCGCGTCTTATCCACGTTTCGTTCAGCGTTACACTTACGTGCCGCGATGTGTATTACCTAAACAAATATGTAACAAATGTCAACAAGATTAATATTAAAATACTCACTCGAAAGGCGTCCCACAAATGACGTACCAAGTAGCGCCATTCTGTGGTTTCCGTCCGCCGACGCAACTGAAGTCAAAATACCCCTCGTCGTAATCGTCGGGACAGAAGTATTTTCGCTTGTATAAAGTCTGCGGAGAAATATTTATGTCAGATAAGGATTAGTTAGTAATTTTAAGTTGACAAATTAGCAGGTACCTACACAGGAACCTAGTTACAAGCAAAGCGAATGGGTCTTCGAGAGCATTCATTAGGTGTCCAAACAAACAAAGAAAATAAGAGAGAAGAGTGCGTATATTTCAAGTGATGCGTAAACCAAGCGTAACCACTTAACTTATAGTAAAAACTCGCAGTCACTTAAGCATCTAAAATAATTTCCAACGTTTGAGTATTTATAATAACTTGTTTATTTTATTCTAAGTTTGCAACCAACAATATGGATGCATTTGTGCAATTGGTCTTTACGTGTGCGAGAATGAGTATTAAAAAGTTGAGTTTTGGCATCATCTGATATACACCCAGCGTTCTGTCTATTTTTCGTTGTTGGTTTGCATTCGGATTTTAGAAATTCTAAGCGTCTGATTTATTGTTGCTTTTTAATGGTTGTTCACTCCACAACAAAAATGTAGGACGCCATGTATTTTCTATTTTCCTGGCGGGGTGATCTAGCCCGTGCTGTATGTTAATGCAAGGGAGGATATTTGCCACGCTTGGCGAGCTGGTTGGCTACCACAGTTTTATTTTTATATTAAGTTGTTATTAGGAGGAAAACTAAAAAAAAATAAGACAAGAATGGATTAGAAAGCTTTATGAATCACTGCTTACAAGAATGACAGATGTCTTAAGAATAGGATACTTAAGTTATTAATATTGTAGATACCATAGTTTTATCGCAGCAAATTACATGATTTATGAAGTTCTTTTTTAATTTTAATTTTATGTATTTTATTGAGAACCTTTACTTTTCATTACGAATTACGATATAAGACTAATATTTATTATGACATTGTGTATGGCTTAGCTAATGCTCTATGGTTTTGTGGCAGAACTTACTTAACTGAAATAAAATAATTACAATGTTAATTCAAATTTTCTTTAAATATAAAATTGTCAACGATTTCATTATATTGATATACTAGCGATCCGCCCCGGCTTCGTATAGGTGATTTCTGGGTCTCGACAACAGCGCCGCCTGCCGGGTCCAAATATCAGTCTAAACCATCTAGGGAACCATTCAATACACACAAAAAAAATCATCAAAATCGTTCGAGCAGTTTTTGAGTTTTAGTGAGACTAACGAATAGTAATTGTTTTTTTTTTTAATATGATGATATGAATAACTTAAACCTGCACATATATTATAGTGTCCTTTTGGAAAATAGTTCTTATCACAAAATTACTTTAAACGTAATATTTTGCTATTATTTTGAAACTATGTGCATTATGGGAAAAAGTTTAAATTGAGGATCTATTAAATTCACGGCAAAAGGTCTATCCTTCAACACTTATTCCTTGAACGCGACAGACAAAGATAGTCTTGTTTAAAAATGGTGTTATAGAAAAAAAAATGTTAAGAATCGATTTTGCATCAAAACAAAGACAATGTATAAAATTTTTTTGTGTAAAAATGCAAAACTTTTTAACTTTAGGTCGAAAAATTTTATAATATCTTTTAAAGTTTATGAGACAATCGGCAAAAATTGATTACCTATTTATCAATTTTTGGAATCAATAAAAATTGTTTTTATGGAAAAAGTAGAGCCTAGATCATTGCTTCCATTGCTTTCTGTCTAATCGTGTAGTTCTAACATAGTCAGTTCAGCCACTCCTAAAATTAGCCTGGCCCAGACAGACAGACAACCAGACAATTTTTTATAAATATTTAATTATTTGTATGTTATTGTAGGATATGCTAAGATATTTATATCTTATCTTTACCATCATTAAAGTTGCACCTTAATTAGACTAACCTGTCCAAAAGGCGTGACAAGGCTGGCTACTTCATTACAAGGGCCGACTGGCTCGTGTAAGCCCAGGGATCGTTCTTTCTCGGGATCAAAGAATACCACGAATAACCAGTAAATGGCGTAATGCACGGCCAATTGCAGCAAAAGCACGTAGTCGATTGCCGTTAGCCTGAAATAAAAAAAATGTTTTATGATGTAATGATGATGTAATACTTTGATATTTTTTACAGGATATCATTATACTTCAGATGATTAAAGAATAAAACTTGGATATTCAATAATAAATATTTATTATTTTAAAGACATGTGAGTTCACCAACATGCATTAGGGCAACACGGCGGACATTTTCTTGTCTTAACCTCTTACAGAAAACTCTATAGGCTGTAGGTAAGTACTTTTTATGATCTTTTCTTGGCAACTACCTTTCCTAGTGGCCAGAATATCTAATACTTAATAGTAATCGTAAATCGTCGTCCTGAAATTGAATACCAACCTAATATATAATAAAAATAGCTTATAATTTTTAAATTGGACATTGATAAAGAGTTTTGGCGGCAACTTGACCGCTTGTGGATTGCTCCTGTTTTATATTGGACTAATAGTTTGAAATGAGATTTGGTTATTTATTTATTTTATTTTATAGAATGGAGGTGTCAAATGAGCACACGGTCCACCTGATGGTAAGTGGATGCTGTGATATGATGAAAATCAAAATTCAGACGCATTGTCACCTTTGAGGGCTAAGATGGAACGCCTCGCTTCCAGTAAAAAGTGCATCCGGTTCTCTACACTCACCATACGAAACACTGCTATTTTAGCAGCATTAAACTGCTATTTTACGATGGTATTCTGTGATTGAGTGGACCCATTCGAGCCATAGCTGCAGCGTGGCTCTACCACGTAAATGGTTGTGCTATTTTGTGTATTAAATGTCAACGCGTGTGAACTATTAGTATGAACAATGAAACAAGCATACGGTGGTGATGTGGAACTTAAGTTACATAGGCTGCACTAGAGGTATCGGGAATGGAATATTTCCACTGTTCCTGTCATATTAAAATCTTTTTAATTAAAAAGTCCTTGGTTTTAAAAATCGAATACTATATATTTATTTAAAAAAAGATTCTCGGTCTTGTCACAAGGTTTTGTCAAACTTGTTTAGTCGTTGAGAAAATGGAATTGACTCCAGAAAATTCAAGAGCGATGATTTATTATATGTATGACTTTCGAAGTGTTTTAACACAAAAACAGTGTGTTGACCGGATGATTTCTGCATTTGGTGATGAAGCCATGAATTGCTGAATTTCAACGTGGACGTGTCAAGCTCAGTGATGATCCCCGTCAAGGTCGTCCAAAAACTGCAGTCACCCAAGAAAACGTTGATGCTGTGCGTAAGCTGATTGAGGAAGATCGACATGTGACATACCGCGAAATTTAGGCAACTTTAGACATCGGCATGAGTCAAATACAAATAATCTTGCATGAACAATTAGGTGTAAAAAAGTTGTTTTCCCGATGGATACCGCATTCGCTCTGTAAAGAGCAAAAAGCGGCTCGCGTTACTTGGTGCGTCAGAACTCTCGAAAGATTCCACGCAGGATCCTCAAATGCTGTATACAACATCGTATCAGGTGACGAATCCTGGATATACGCGTGCGAACCCGAAACAAAAAACCAGTCACGAGTTTGGGTGTTCGAAAATGAGTTAAATCCAACAAAAATTGTTCGTTCACGGAGTGTTGCAAAAAAAATGGTGGCCACGTTTGTCTCCAAAACTGGCCATGTTACGACTATTCCTCTTGAAGGACAAAGAACTGTTAATGCAGAATGGTATGCTAGCATTTGTTTGCCACAGGTCGTTTCTGAACTGCGTAAAGAGAACTGCAACCGCCGCATCATCCTCCATCACGACAATGCGAGTTCTCACACCGCACACAGAACAAAAAAGTTTTTAGAGCAAGAAACATAGAATTATTAAACCATCCGCCGTACAGCCCCGACCTAAGCCCTAATGATTTCTATACTTTCCCTAAAATAAAGAATAAATTGCGTGGACAGAGATTTTCATCACCTGAAGAAGCTGTGGACGCCTACAAAACGGCCATTTTGGAGACCCCAACTTCCGAATGGAATGGTGGCTTCAATGATTGGTTCCATCGTATGGAAAAATGTGTCAAATTTCGCGGAGAATACTTCGAAAAGCAATAAATACATTTTTAAATAGTAACGTTGTGTCACTTCCTTGATTCCCGAAATTTTCAGTGCCGCCTCTTGTGCCTTGGCGTTGGCGCCTTGAGATACTATCGTTATCGACTATCTGCTCGCTCAGGAACCCGCCAAATATCTCAAAACTTCTCAATGTGACGTATCAACGAAGAACACATCACATTATTTATGAAGAAATTTTGAAACACATAATATTATAGGATCATCGATATATATATCTACTACATATACGCACTAGATTTCGCATTCCAAACATTGACTATGTTCAAATGAACTGTACTGCAATCCGTACACTAAACTTAATATTGCGTAAATTGAAGATTTGTAAATTCCATAAGATAGTTATTATTACATTTTATTTAGAAATATGTTTGTTTAGATTAAAATAAGATTATTTTATATAAAATTCTTATATTTATTTTATACTAGCTGATCCCCGCGACTTCGCCCGCGTTCAATTTAGGGTTTTAATTTTTTCGCGGAACCCTAAATATTTTCTTAAAATAAAAGTGGCCTAAGTTACTCCTTATAACATCAGCTATCTGCAAAAGGTCCGGTCAAAATCGGTTCAGCCGTTTCGAAGATTACCGAAACAAACAGACATACAGACAGACAGACTGAAATTCAGACAAAAATTTTATTAAATTTTAAAAATCGTGTTTTTGTTATAAGTACCGTATATACTTTCATATGCATATGGGTAGTTCTACAAACTAAGGAATTTTTGGCGGCTCAGCTAAAATATGATAAAAAAATTGTTAACAACAATTTATTTTGGATGGAATTCTATTAATTACATTTGTTTCTAGATGGTCACTAAAAATAATTAAGATTCACAATTCTTTTCTGAACAAAATTACTGTTCAAACTGCCGAATTCTCAGGATCCTGCAGTGTCCCTCGTACAAATTTTAATTCAAAGTGCGTCGTGATACATTTATTTCTACATTAGGGTCTTAAAAGAATCCCAAATGAATAAGTTTACTATTTTTCCTGGCTAGGTAGAACAATTACTATAGTATTTCCTTATAAAAATATTGAATAAATCTTGTTTACATTTTGCCCCCACGATTTTATATCAGTATCCTGTTCGCTGTTGAATTAGCAAATATTCACTAGACTATTTGCCGTGCGTCTTTACCGTAACGCTGAGTCGATAGTACCTACGAAAGAGACAAAGAATGTCATCTATCTATTTGCACCTAGCACGTTGTTTAGTGAGTCGAGTGCGTTCAGCGAGTGAAGTGGTGTCATAATCAGTGGAGTTCACAGAATCCTGGTAAGATTTTTATTTACGAAATAAATAATGCATATGACTAACTTTAGCGTGTTGATATGTAAGATGCTAGCGCGTAGGCCTAGTTTAGGTTATTTTTTTAAGTTATAAATTGGTGTGTTTATTTTAATTTTAGACAGAAATTATCAGGAACCTGGCCTCAGGATCCTGTCCAATTGGTACCCAGGATACTGAGAACCATCCAGGATCCTGAGCAGATCATATTAAAAATATTGTTTCTGTGCAATAAAATAGTATTTTTTTTACACATAAACATTAAACTACAAATAAATAATTTAATAAATAAATTGTACTTACTCTCGTAATTTGTTTATATACAGTTATTTAGTTTTGGTGGTGGTCTAAGTAAGTCTTATAATTGTTTCGAAACGTCGGATTAAAAGTATAAAATAAACAAACATTTAATCGATCTTACAAATATTATATTTGAATATTATATTTTGTTACATAGGAAAAATGGCGCCAAAAAAGAAACAAACAAAAGAAGATATATTAGAAAAGAAAAGGATAGCTGAAAAAATTAGATATGAAAAAATTAAGAACGACCCTCAGAGATTAGCGGCTGAAAAAGAAAAAAGAAAGCAAAAGTATAAAAAGCTGCGAGAATCTGGCAAAAAAAAACTAGTTTCTGAAATGTCGGCTCGTGAAAAAAGGCAAGCTCGCAGAAGATGGAGGGAATACTCAGAAAAATCCTACAAAAAGAAAAAGTTACTAACTAATGTGATGAACCACTTTGTTAGAGAAAATACTCCGTCTAGTTTAGATGATGAACCTGTAGGTCCTGAGTTCCGTGATCATGAACAACCTCAGCAAGTAAATTTTGAGATAAATGTTCCTCAAACATTATCGTCGAAGCCAAATCCAAGATTGGAATCAGTACGAGAACGGTCACAGAAGCAGCGTCATAAGAGAAACCAGGAGATAAAACAAAAAAATGCGCTAATAGTAAAATTGAAACAAAAACTTAGCAAATATAAAAAGAGATGCCAGAGATTGAAAAAACAAAAGAAACAATTGGAGCTTACGCCTAAAACCGCAATGACTAAACTTGCTGAAGATCCAGCGACACGGGTAGACGTTGTCAAAAAGGCTTTATTTGGTGATGTGTTGGAAAAGCAAATATCAGATAATATGTCTAATCTGAAGACTCGTCAAGAGAAGAAAGTTGCAAACAAATTACTTTTGGGCCAGATTGTGAATGCAAATAAGGCTTGGAAGTTGAAAAACAAGGTTATAACTTATAAAAAGATGTGGAGTCAAGAAAAGCAAAAAAAGGCTGCAATAAAACAAAAAAGATGCTTAAAAAAGATAGTTCAAACATTTTTGGAAGACGACAAGTACAGTAGACTGTGTGCAGGCAAGAAAGAATTTATAATATTATATCTCTGGAACACAGGCGCATTTTGCTTGACATGGCTTTGTTATATGATATAATAAACAGTAATATTGACTGTCCATATCTTGTCTCAAGAATCACCTTTCGTACTCCAAAATTCCGTACCCGCAATACTACATTGTTACAGACTCCCTGGCATCATTCAAACTACTGTCGAAACACTGTTCTTTCGCGGCTTGCTCGTACATATAATGAACAATTTGGACACATTGACCTCTTTGCGAAATCTAAACTTACGTTTAAAGATTAC